CCTCTAAAGCTGACCAGGACTACTTCTCCAAGCGCCTTGGGGTTGAACCAGTTTTAGTTGATGCGGCAGACTTCGGGGTCGTGAGCAGGCCCAGGGTCTGGTGGACCCTAGTGGACTGGACCCAGTGCACAGGGCTTCGTTGGTCCAAGGTGGGCCGTCTGAAGCGCCTTCATGTCGACTGTCAACGGGACGATCTCACCCAGTACGACATGGATGGGCATTCGTTCAGTGATGAGGTTCAGTCTGGAAGAAAGGTCCTCCCGTGCTATACGACGCCGGCCCCCACAGATGCTGGGAGGCCGGCGCCCAAGTCCTGCAAATCCAAGATCGACTCTGCCACCAGACAGAGGTGGTTAGAATCTGGTAGAGTTTTCGCACCGTGGCACTACAACGAATATGCCCTCCTGCGCTCCTCGAATGGGGCTCTCGTCACAGCTCCCATCACCATCAAGGAGCAGTCTCACCATCTGGCAGCAGGGTGGACTTCGTCTGAGGGATGCAGCTCCCGGGACCGGCATAGGTACCTAGGAAATTCTTGGCACAGGGGTGTAGCCTCCTTCCTCTTCAAGCTGATTTTGACTCATGGCACCGTTGTCGGCGGGCAGTGTGATGTCGCGCCCGTAGCCTTGTCTTCCAGTGTGCCTTCGGCGGAGGGAATCTCGTCCTGTGCACTGCCTTCGGAGCCGAGCGGATCGGCCAGGCAGACTGTGCCGCAGTGGACAAAAGTTCTGTCCGATGCCAGGGCACTGGGGTTGCCCATCACTAGGGAACGCGCCCCTACTTCTTGTGGCATGCCACCGTCGGCCAACATGTGGGAGCATTGGGAACATAGCCAGCACATGTGTCATCACGCTGCACAGCCCCCATCTTTAGAACCCGGGTTGCTAATCACTCTTCGTCGCGCTGCTCAGATGAATCCTCGAGAGCTACGAGACCATCGATCGGTGGTTCTGCAGGGCACTCGATCCATGATCGCTGAGTTGCGTGTGGAGACGGATGCATGGTTTGCTGCTGTGAGACCACACGTGCGCCAAGCATACACACATCCAGATGGTCACCGTTTTGAAGTCCTAGTTTTCCTTCGCTTGCTCCGAGAGTGCGGGTACCCCGACATTGAGGCTCTCGAGCTCGATCTCACTCGAGGCTTCCCCCTACTTGGTCCGGTTGCTCATTCGCCTGGATGGAGGCCTCGTTTGGATGATGCGTACCGGCACCCTATCTCGTTGGAGGCTTTCCGCGGATTGAACTCTGCTTATGTGAAAGAGAAGCTTCGTAAACCTAGAGTGGATCCGGAGTGGCGCGCCATGATGACCGAGGTCGTCACAGAAGTACAGCTGGGGCGCATGGAAGGGCCATTTCAAGCTCCAGAAGATTGGCCTAAGAGCACGGTTGGGGCTGCTTCCTGGGGCGTTGACGTCGCGCCCATCCCCGATGGCCCGTGCTTCGTAGCGCGCTTTCAGCGTGGTGCAGACAGGGTCGGATGGCCGCAGAAAGGTTCGCAGGTGTGAGGACTACAGACGATCCCATCACAACGCCACGATATCAGTGGGGGATAGGCCAGAGTATGATGACGTCGAAGTGTACGTCCAAGCCATACGAGCTCTCGTAGAATTGGGTCTTGTGGTCATGGTGTGGTGTCAGGACCTCGCAGACGCATATAGAGCCTATCCGGTGCGTGAGCCAGGAGATGCGTGCATGCTTTTGGACACCCCCTCTGGGCCCACACTCTGGCGACATCGAGTGTTGCCTTTTGGTAGCACAGCCAGTGTCTGGAGTTTTGGTCGCGTCACCGACGCGCTCACCTGGCTGGTTCGGTGCCTGTTGATCGTGGCGATGCTGCATTATGTTGACGACCTCGGGGGCGTGCACGGTGACGGCGAGGTCGAAGACGCTTTTTCATCCTTCACCGAGTTTTGTGTTTTGCTCGGTTTTCGCCTCAAACCTTCTAAGGCGCAAGCCCCGGCTTCCGAACAGAAGCTCTTGGGCGTCATCATTCGCATCCTCAGATCCGGTATCCAGCTTGCGCCTGACCCCAAACGAGTCCAGAAATTAGTGGCCCAGATAGACGAGATCCTTGCCTCTGGGCGCTTAGATGCCGAAGTAGCATCAAGACTGGCGGGGAAGTTGGCGTTTGTTGCAACCACTGCCTTTGGACGAGCTGGAGCCGCGGCATTGCAGCCACTGTATGCGCGATCCCGGAACCCGAGGGCTGGATCGGACGAACTCAATACGGGTTTGCGCGGGGCCTTAACTGCGCTACGAGTGATTCTCTTGCATCTCAGGCCTCGGTTCATTCCTTTTCATGTACCCCACAGAAGAACCGTTTTGTACACAGATGCTTTCTTTGAGCTTGGGGACAAGGTCTGGAAGCTGTCTGACCAGGACATACCCACACAGTGGTCGCGAGAAGCATGCCTGGCAGCCAGAAATGGTTGGGGGTTTGTCGTCAGGATTGGTGACGAAGTGTTCTTTGGACACGGGAGTGTGTCCCCAACTTTGGTTGAAAAGTTCTGCACCAGACGGGCTTTCATCTACTTCCTCGAGATTTATGCACAACTTGTCGCATTCGTAGTTTTGTGCCATGCCCTACCAGCTGAATGGATCTCTTTCATTGACAATCAGCCGGGCATGGCGGCGCTGCAGAAAGGTTTTGGGCGCGACGAGGTCATAAACTACATGATTACAGCCTTCTGGACTTTGGCTGCGCACAAGTCCTGGTTGCCGGAGTTCCATTGGGTACCATCAGCACTCAATATTGCGGACCCTGTATCCAGAGGGGACCTTTCCATAGCGCAGCAGGGATGGCATCGGTTGGTCTCAGACCTCACACCTTTGGAAGAGGCATGCCGCGACCTCAACCATACTAACTTCGAAGATTTCTGTGAGCGTGTGACTGCGATGAAGTGGGAATGGTCCAAGACGTCCTAGCCCCTCCGTGTATGGGGTGTGGGCGCGGATGGGCGGAGATGATGTGGCGCCGCTACCACACACCTGCTGCACGGGTTCGGTTTGGACGCCTCGACATTACCACTCAATCCGGGAGTACGAAAAGTGGCCAACGATCTATCCACTTCGTGTGTGAGTGAGTAGCATGTCGGGATGCATCTCGATGCAAAGTGACATGTAGCGAGCGAGTGCCGAGAACTGTGATCAGGAATGTACATATATATACATATGCCCCGCAGCCGCGCGAGGCTCGGGAGCAGTACCAGAGATTTTTGCTCTCCCGCCCACACCGCCCATTGTACATTCTTTCTCCCGGCTCGGAAAGGGGTCGACGAACTGATTTCGTACAGCAGGGGTGGAGATGATGTGGCGCCGCTACCACACACCTGCTGCACGGGTTCGGTTTGGACGCCTCGACATTACCACTCAATCCGGGAGTACGAAAAGTGGCCAACGATCTATCCACTTCGTGTGTGAGTGAGTAGCATGTCATGGTCATCAATAGATTTACTCCTATACGCTTTCACAAACCAGGCCCATCTTTTCCACCAACCCTGCACCCCCCACCCCCGCCCCCTCTCACACTTCTTCCAGCACCCCTACCCTCCCGCACCCATCCCTTCCCATCCCTCCCCCCACCCCCGCCCCCCCAGCTCCCGGCGGGCCGTTCCGCGCGGTTCCGGGGCGGCTTCGGGGCGGCTTCCGGGCGGTTCCGGGCGGTTCGGGCGGTTCTGGTTTGCCCGGAAGTACGCGGAAGAGCCCGGGACGTATGTCTTAAGCATTCCTGACCCTTGGCATCCAAACCGTCCAGACCATCTCTTCAAAATACACTGCGGGCTCTTCGGGTGCTTCCGGGCGCCTCCGGGCGCTTCCGGGCGCTTCCGGGCGGTTCTGGGCGGTTCCGGGTGATCCGGAAACGCCCGGAATCGCTGGGACATCGTCAGCTGAGAGCGATGATGATGACGGATGAAAGCAAGTAAAACCATGTCGTGAGTCAGCCGGAGGTGACTGACAACCGCAAACTGCGCAGTTCATGTTCGCGCCAAGCCCCCTAAAAAATCAGAACACGCAAGCCGAAAATTCCCGAGTTAAGCTTGTGTCGTAAGCATTCCCAGGGCTTAGCAATGTATATATATATATATGTGTGTATGTATCTATACACGACCCTATGCATAGGTCCTTCTCGATTTGCTTTGGACCCTATGCGCTGGGAAGACTCCATTTTCGTGTGCCCCTTATACCATCCGGCTACACCAGGCCCCAATGCGGGATAGGGTGCTGTCCGCCTTTGATTGCGCCCCATCCGAATGAAGAAGGACCCTATGTCCTAGCCTACAGACTCTGCTTTTCTGTGACGTCAGGCTTTGTTTTTAGGGTTTGTTGAGGGTTGAAAGCTAAGGGGCATTTCGTTATTGATTTGTTTTTGTTTGCCTTCTTGTGTTTCCCTTTCTTTCCAGAGGCTGAGACCATCTGCCAAGAACAATAAATGACCAAGAGTTCAAACCGTCAAAATGCATGTTCTTCTTGTTCGCTTCGCAGTTTCTCGTTGTGTCGCCTTGTAGGGATTTGTCATCTGCGCCAGAACGGTTGATTCCTTCATCGCAGCTCCGCGCCTGTCCGGGCCTATTCATAGGGTTCTGCCCTAAACCCATGCCCCAGGCGTTTCCTACTCCTACTGCTACTCCTACTCCTACTCCTACTCCTACTCCTACTCCTACTCCTACTCGAAAGCAAGAAAGAACGAAAGCAGGAAACAAGGAAAGAAGGAAAAAGGGAAAGAAGGAAAGAAGGAAATAAGGAAATAATGAAACAAGGAAACCAGGAAATAATGAAATAAGGAAACAAGGAAACAAGGAAATAGGAAAATAAGGAAAGAAGGCAACAAGCAAACAATGAAACAAGGAGATAAAGAAAGTGAAAATCAGAGTATAACAAAAGTCGGTCACCGGGACGCGCACCCGGGCCGCTCGGGTGAGGGCGGAGTCTCCTACCCAGCTAGACTGTAGCGGATCTTGATCAATGCGTGCTTGCAACGCCGATGTATGGGTGCCGAGGCTTATCAAGCTTGGTCAATCTTGATGGCCAAGCCGGTCTTCTGGACGAACATCTTCTGGATCTGTATATATACTATGCCAGGGCCATGGGCATGACATGGGCTTTTCGCATTTAGCCAGTCGCCATGTGTGAATGCTCTATCGCTTTTCAAATTTCAGGCGTTGATGGCAATACAAAGTCCCAAGCCCAGGCAGGTTCAGCTCCTAGCATTGGCGAGCCTGCGAGTTGGCAACGGAGTGTCTGGAAAGGGTGCGGGTGGCCGGACTGGCGATCATTTGCAGCGTGACCGGTTGGTCTTCACAGCATCAGCCGGTGCCGAGCTCAGAAACCCAAGAGAACTTCATGTGAACCAGCTATTATAGCCAGTTCTAGCCTGGATTCAGCCTCTCTTTCCTGAGGTTGTGGCGCTGCTACCGCATTTTTCTGCTCTTGCAAACGATGAGTGGTGGGAGGCAGGAGAGCGTACAAGCAGCTTCCGGGCGGAACATAAGTCGATTGGGCAAGAGCTCAGCGAGGTCCAAGCTCAGTTGCTGCGACTGTCGGCGAAACTTCTAGGCAGGCTGTCCACGGAGCGTGTGGACCCCAGGGGCCGTGCCGGTCTGTGAAAGAGGAGCATGACCGATCAGTGCGCAAGCTGAGCATCAGGGGGTCATGCAGCTGTCCTGGGACCCGAAGATGATGGCAGCGCTAGTCTGCAACTCAGGCAGTTTACCGGCAAAGAGCCGCCGGACTCTGGCTGCCAATGTCTTCTTAGGTGGTGCCAGCAGACTCGAAGATGGAGGGGAGGTACATCCCAAGCCCTAAAAAGCCCCAAACAGCCCTAAACTTGTCAACGTGGAACATTCCGCGCAGTCATTAAAGCAGTCCGAGCTCTGTGTCAGGCGAGTGTGGAAGCCGTCATTGAGGAGATTTTGTCTATAGTCAGTCGGCTTTTCGCTGTGAGCAACTCCAAGAACGTTCTGCAGGCTTGGTTTTCTAGGTTCGCATTGAGTTCGACATAGGACATGGATGTGCAGTTTTCTCTAGAATGTTTCGACAGGTGGGGCTCTCCGCACTTGTGCACGTGCTGCCTGATTATCCCAACTTGCTTCCAGTCTTTGCTGGCACCCAAGACATGCTGAATCTTATAGCTCATGTGTCAAGTATGGCATAGTATGGCAAGGATGGTGCAGTGCTAAATTCACATGTAGAGTGCGGAATGCACGACGCTGGGTATCACTGTGAGTGGCTGTGTGCGCCGTATGCTGTTCGATATCCAAGGTAGCTGTGTTGCTTGGGCAGACACCAGCCCTACGGCAACGGCTTCTGCAGGAGGTCGAGGCGGTGGTGCCCAGACTGGGTTTGACACTTCGAATTTGCATTTTCAAAATGACAACTAAGCGTCAGCCAAGGGCGATGACAAAGCAGGGCACACGTACGTTCATGGCAACTTCACTTGTACCTACGAGGCTGGCTGCGTTCTGTTTCGAGCCTGTAAGCAGGGGACCTGTTTCTATGTGATATGGAAGGAGACGTGCTTGCCAGAGATTTGGCCACATCTGGACATTGCGAAGACGTTGACTATGCAGCTCGAGGCAAGCAGAGTATCTTTCAGCGCAACTGCGATGCGGCAAAATCTGTGAGGCAAGCCCACCCGAGCGTCTCGAGATAGAGCATCTCGAGGCGCTCAGCACCTGTGTCACTTACTTGTAGCGCGCAGTCTACGGATGGCAAAACACATGAAACACTGTCGCAACCGCATCCGCTCGCCGATTTGAAAGCCTTTCCAACCCTGCAGTTGAGACATCAGGCCAACTTGTGGCAAGGGCAAGTCTTGGCCCCTGAGATGATGCCCGGCCCTCCTGACAACTTGATCGCCGAAAGTCAGCCCGATAGACTGTAGCAGTTAGATATGATGTGGCGAGTCAATCTCCCCACGCCTGCAAAATTGACTCCAAACAGCAAGAGGACAGGTTCCCGGGCGGTGCATATTGACAACATAGGGACCGAAGGCTTCTTGCGCTTACGCGGTCGGAAGTGGCATGTATGATTTCGTGCAGATAGACAGATATCTCGTCCCCCCATGACCTACCCAGCTCCTTGGAGTTCACAAAACTTCTCTGTAGTGTTCAGGTGGGTCAACAAGCGACACCGACACTAAACTGGCATGAAAATCTATGAAAATCAATTAGTTAGTGGGCTGCGCCTAAAGGATTGATTCTACCAATCTTTTCCCCCCCTCTCACCCCCATTAAGGGTTGCCTTGCTTGAATTAAGGAGATGGGGGGGGGGCCCCCCTTTCCCCGTCAGGTGGCCCCCTCCCCCCCCCCCCCCTGGAGGCTCCTTATTTCGATGTGTCAATAATCGAACGAGGATATGAATCAGCAATGCTCCGGAAAGATTTTGAAAATGGGTTGCTTGCGCTGTCCGGCGTTTGTCTAGCTTTCGTAGCGCAAATCCAAGTTGTGCTGTCATTGCATACATGCCGGTTTTAGGGTTTTTGTGCCGTGCACGCTTAAGCGACTTATTTGACCATGTTACTCATTCCGGGAGTTTGACCATCCGATTTTGAAACGCCGTTGCGCTTCTTGTATATTTCTCGACGGTGGCCGACGTCTGTTGAGCGCAGCGGGCCGAACGTTGAACAAGAAAGCCTTGCCCGCGGGTAGCCGCATTTGTCTATGTGTGGGGGTGTGCAAAACGCAGCACCTCGCATCGTCTAGAGACTAGACGTTTTGATCTGCACTGCGCCAACAGGCTGCGCATGGACGCATGGTTTCGCCAGTCTAGCTGTCATTTGTTGTCATGTGGGTTTATGTCAGTGCGCAATGTTGCGTGCTGCAGGTGCTGTTGGCCAGCCTGCCTTTCTTCTTCGATGAGGACGAAGCAGATGAATGGCTCCATATCTTCGAGAAGGCACTGCGTGTTTGTCATTGAGTAAGCGACTGGCAGCACAAATGTAACCCTTTCGAGGTGAAGCGATATGTCTTCACGACGTTGGCACGGTGCTTGGTTAACCTGGGGCTGTAAGATGCAGATTTTCGCTTTAAATTCGTGGTTCGTGCTGAGGTGGATCCACAACTGCATCTGCTCAGTACCCAAATCATTCGCAAGTTCTGGGAAGCTGCCTCGGCTCTGCGACACGTTCAAGCTGCGCACATGTCAGCTCCTGGCATCCTGGCACAGCCGTGCATAGGCAAGCGGTGTCGAGTCCATTGCAGCGAAGACCCGGGAGAATTCCTTGGACATGATGGGGGAGGCGAGCAGCCTTCGTGATGTGGTCCTGTGTACTATGTACCCTATGAGTCCATGCGCCCGCCAAGACCCTCAGTATGCTCTATGACGGCTCAGAGCGTGTCGAGGAAGTGACCCGCTAAGATCCGCCAAGTCTCAGTCAGTGTTCGCTGTATCTGTAGTCCGGCACTGCGCAAGCTCGATCACTCCGAGGCTTCGGTCATCGTCTTCCTTCGTGAGATGCGAAGTCGCGATGAGGAGCCATACTTCTTGTGAGCTGAAGGGGCTCAATCAAGACGAAACTTTGCGCCAGCGGCCGCATCCTAAAGCACCCCCCCAAAAAAAAGTCGCGACGAGGATACCCAAGCAGAGGCCTGCATTGCATCCATATCCACACTGGTTCGAAAGGTTGCAAGATTCCTTTTGCAAGTTGCAATATGTCACAATGTCTTGCAGGTGGATCGAATGATCGACCGTTTCGCGGAGTCCCACCCAGACAAGTACCAGGCAACCCGTCCTGTGTTCGCAGCAGCATGCTGCAATTTGCATCATCGTCTCGAGGCGTCCCAACTCCACACAGTGTCCCAGGACTGAGATGGTATTCTAAGACGGTTAGACACCCTCGAAAAACCCATCCTATTGAGCGAGCATCGCAATTAGTTCGCACCCCTAGCTAGTCCCCCCTTGCCAGCATCCAGTTTCACCACAGCGTTTCACCAGGAATGCGGCATGAGCCCATCGAGAAATGCAATTTTTTCGTATGCATCTTGCGATTGCTACTTGCCGACTCATTCCCCACCCACCCGACAAGTAGGGTTGTTAGATTTTATGGACAAGGTGGCATGCATCATGTAACGTGACGCGCTCAGGACATCACCCTGTACAGCTTTCAGGGACACCATTCCAAAAGCGGGCAACTACATCAGAATAAGCAGGCCAGAAAGGCTCAAGCACCGGAATGTTGCCTTCACAAGCAGGCCAGGGAGGCTCAGGCGTGCAACTGTACTGGAGTGGTGCCTTTACAGGCAAGCTATGCAGGCAGGCATAGGCGGGCAACTGTAGGCCAGCGAGCCTCAGGCGGACAATTGGACGATAATGTTAAACAGGCCGAAGAGGCTCAGGCGGGCAACTGTACAGGAATGCTGCTAAGCAGGCCAAAGGAAGCTCAGGCTGGCAACTGTACCGGAATGTTGATTCTGCCGGAATGTTCCCTCAATATAGGCGGGGCGGGCAACTGTACCAAAAAGTTGCCGGTAAAAAACAGGGTGGCCTATTTAACAAGAGTTGGCGGGCCCTGCTGCCAGGTTTGGCTGCACGCGCCAAACCGCAGCCAAATTTCGCGAGGTTAAGGATCGAAGGGCTGCCCGGAATAAAAGTTTCATGCTTTATGGACCCCCCTGGCGGGACCCTCTGACAGGCTTGCATTCGGCTGCACAAGCCTCGTCTCACTGGTCTATCTGACGGGTCTGCAAAGCCATGTTCTTTGGCAGGTTTCATTTACGATTCCAGAAGCACAAAAGCCCGACATCTTTTTGTTATTGGGAAAAGCCAGAGCACGAAACCCCAAGCAAATTTAATGCGAGGGTATGCCTTATCTTCTTCCGACAATTGGACGTGATGCCCCAAATCCTGAACCTTGTGCCCAGATTGGTTCCATCAGACCAAAAACTGTAAATCAGCATGGAAAACAGCATTAGCAAAGCAAGAAAGTGCTCTCTTGCTCGACACCGCAACCTTAAGTCCTTGCAGGGGCTGGGCGGGGATGTTCGACGGAGCGATTCTTTTGTGCTCAGCCGCGGGCTCCGGAGGGTGCCTTGCGGCAGAATGCGTCGTTTTGCCACATCCTTTGCATCTCAGCAAGTTTTTTTGTCTCAGGTGTTTGTGTCAGTTCCTGTTTGTCACATGTGGTGGGTTCACCATCCTCTTGCAAAGGTTGTGCCCGGAAATCCGGGGCTCGTCGGTGGATGAGGTCTGCATGGTCTGAAGTCATCTGCAGCAGTTTTGCGCCGTTGCTGAGCAGCCTTTTATGGCATGTCAACTATGGACATGACTCACTTGACCGGTGTAATCCGAGAGGAGGGCGATCTCCCACGGGCTGACGTTTCCGCTTCTGTTCAGGTGTGAGCAAGTGGCATGCATGCCATTAGGATGCCAGCGACGTGCAGCTGTTAGATTCAGGAGCACTGCTCCGCAGCCTTCCTTCAGGCCTGGCTGAGAAGCACAGACGTCTCTCACATTTACATTCTCTTGTGCCGTCTTTGCCGAGAGAGATCGAGAAGAGTATCAAGGCATCCATGGCAACAAATGCAGGACATCCGCGTCCAGCCTGGCTCCCCAGAATCGGCGCGGCAGAGCGGCGCCTGGGGCTTTTGGCCCTGTCGTGGCCTTCTTGGCCTGCCTCTGTCAAAGAGGCGAGCAAACACAACACGACTCCTGCTGTCATTGCCCTGTATACAGTATAGACTTTAAAAGTCCCAGTGGCACTCCCAGCGTCCCCCCCAGCGGCCCTCCCAGCGCGGAACAAGACAGATGAGCAATGATGCGCACGTCGTTATCATGAAGCCCAAGTCTTGAATCGGACCAAGTTAGACACAGCCTCTGCCAGCCAATGCCCTGGAACGAGAATAATGAAAAGGAGGCAGGGTGCAGGCCAGAGACCCGACAATTCGACAACCAGCACCGGGAAGCAGGATGTTCTCAACACATTGTTTGCATTGTGTGCGTTCATACATGTTCATGCCGTAGTGAAGCAATCCTCACAGTGATGCAAATGTGGACGTACTGTTTCTGTGTAGCTGTAGTGCAGCATCCTGCCAGGTCACCTCCCTCGACGGGCCATGGCATCGGAGACATGTGGTCAACTTACGCAGCAGGTTGCAGCGAGGGTTGGCCTTTTGCCATGCAGTCGTCCGCAGCCACAGAGATCATCATAGTCAAACTCATGCTTAAGTTTGGTATGATGAGTTGCGTCAGAAAGTGGGCTCTTGCATTCATGGCTCCGAAAGTTTTGGAGGCTCAGTTAGCTTAGCAGCTGGGAACAAGGCACATGGCACGTGTGATGCCATGGATCGGTTCCTTGTGCGGCGATCCAAGCCAGATGCCGGTCCAGGCCCCTGCATGACGCTCTGATGAACATGCTACTGGTATGACGGCTTAGCCGATGAGCGTCTGCGTAAGGTCACAATCCAGAGGAGGCACGAGTTGTCCCCCCGAGATCGTCGCTGTGAGTTGACAGTTGCAGTTCCGTCACAGTCTGCCGCGGGTGCACTTGCTTTTCTTACATTGCCTGCTGCGTTTCATCATGTCTCATTGCCTCTTGCATATCATCGAGCTGCATAGTGTGGTATTGCAATTATTTTGGCTTGATCTTCCTGCGGTATCTTGCATGGTCTCAATGTTGCCTGTGTCTCGTCCGGGCTACGGCATCACATGGGATGACACGGATGACAAGAGCAAGCTGCGGCTTCCGATGACACCGCGGTTTCCAGTTTCCCGAATCCCCGGTTTCCGAATCCGCGTTTCCAGTTTCCTGGATCAGCAGGTTTCCCGAATCCTGGATTCCCGAATCCGTTTGGCGAATCAGGCTTTTACAGTTTCCGAATCTGTGCTTTTTTAGTTTCTGCATTCGCCGCTGACCCGACAGCTGCATCAGCAAAGCTGCCCGCCGTGTGCGAGAAGGAGCTACAAAGATTATGTGGACTAAGCCATGCTTGAGGGAGCACGAAGGTGTGGACCAAGCAAAGAGGGAGCACAACTACAATCCAGGACTTTACATGATGATTAGTTCCGAGACTACAGCGATATGTCTCGACGACCACTGCTTTGGCGTCAATAATGATGAGGAGAAGGAGGATAAGGAGCATAAGGAGGACAATGACGAGGACGACGAGGGCAAGGGGCCATCAGTAACAACGCCGGTGTTATGAATTTGTTCGAGGGACACGAGCGAGAGAAACAGGCAAATGACGCTTGGAGTTAATCAAGATTGAACAAGCAGGTTATGATGGTGCATTTTCTAGCGCACAAAAAACTTTCACCTAGGAGCAAAAACCCAGCCAATGGCAGCAGGTTCTTGGATCCTCAGTGCTTCTACAAAAGGGTTCTGGTACCTCCATGTCAGCTCCCTGGTCAAGGCAAAAACACGGCATCGAGGCCTTTCCATATCCTCTTGATGCTCACTGAAACGCCAGCACACGAAACCACATCATGCACCACCCATCACTTCCTAAAGCAATGTCTCGGTCTCAGATTCTCGTCGACAACATGCTAAGCAGAAACACCAAGGTGGACTGTATGCTCGCAAATCATTTCTGAGTTCAGTCGCCAGTCAAGGCACGGGCAACATTCTCCTTCCTCACAAGTTAACCTAACATCATGTGAAATCTTTTCTTAAACTGAGAACCTGCGAACGCCCAGTGCGGCCGGGTGAAAGGGGCTCAAGGCTACGAGGAACATGATGCTCCACTATTGGGCATTTGGTAACGGAAATACAGTCTTGGCGAAGGTTAGCACGAAGAGACAGCGGACGGACGGCACGGAGCTCGATTGAATTTGAATGGACTGAAGCACTGGCTTCGCATCACCTTACGACTCCGGGCATGCAGGCGTCAAAGATGTTCAAGATGTCCAAGATATCAAGGAGGGTGTCAAGACAGAGGCAGAGGGCGATCCCAGCAAGGTCATCTCCTGGAAGCTTAGACAGCGCTGTAAGACGGTTGGAGCACAGTTGGAGCACAAGTCCTTTGCGGATGTTCTTGAGAACTGGCTCATCCCGTAGCCCGAGTGTCTTGTATCATCTTGACATCCCAGGAATGTCAACGGGCTTGCGGTCCAGCTTCGGAACAACTGGTGTCCGAGCTGTGTTCGGTGTGACGATCTCGATCACACCTCTTGGCCTTGGTCAGGAGCATTATCAAGGCTTTCCTGGAGAAGGAGCAGCCAGCCACTTGCATCTCAAGCCGAGTCAGTGCGGAGCGTTTCTGTTACTGTGTACTTGGTGTTTCTTGGAGAAGAAATTTCAAATCATGCAGAATAACCAGTGCCACCGGATGCAAGGACGTAATTTGCCTCCAGGAAGTGCGGCTTCCGGCGGCTGGACCCAAAGGCGCGTGCCGAGTGTGACCAGGACTGTTTAGCATCCATCTAAAAGTCAGCCAGGGTGCAGGCAACAGCAGAGTATCGGCACAAGGCTTTTAGCTTCAGGTGGCATGTTTTGCATACCTTTCGGGCTGAACAAAGCAAGTCGACGGAGGCTGCAAGCGCGGTGACGGGCAGAAGCGCTGCAGGGGCGAGGCACCCGACAATGAAGCGGGGTAGCGGTTGCTCCTCTCGTGCTGTGGACTTGTTTCCTTAGCTTGCCACAAAGTATGATGATTGACATTCAATCCGACGCATCAACATGTTGCAGCGCAGCCTCTCTGCACATTTGACGTCAGACGCAAGGCAAAGCACGAGTCAGCTCAAGAGAAGGCCTCCGTGACCATGCTGAGGGTTGTGCTGTTTGGGACGCATGAGTGGATGTAGTGGACGTAGTGCACGTTGTGCACGCAATGCACGTAATGAAATGGCTGATGTGGATTGCAGGCGGACTGGGATCTTGTTCAGCGGACCATTGTTGCCACCTTCACAAAGACATATAGCTTCCACTGGTCGCTTGCTGACTGGAAATATTCAGGAGCTCGGATGTTGTGCTCCCTTTCTCCCTCTGTATCTCGCTTTGTCTTCACAGACTGTTGCAGACAGGTGGAGTTGCTCCTGGTATAGATATACAGCTCCATCAGACATGCTCCGTTCTGAACGCAGGCACGCTGATGATGATTCGAAGGAGTCTTCGACCCTCCCACATTACGTACACGTGCTCTACGTTTGGCGATCACCCGGCTCATGTCGATCCAGCAGACAGCAAGTGGCATCCGGAGGCTGGAGGATCTGTGTATTTCACACATGTCCTCTCTGTTGTTTTTTCGGTTCAGGGGAGAATCATCTGTGTTTGCGCCTGAGCACTGGCCGCAATGTGCCGCACCATTCCATTGGCTGCACTACATGTTCAAGATGTGCTCAAGGCCAGCTTCTCCACGTTCGAGTTGCTTGCGCTATCGCCTCAGTGCGTGTACTGCGCTAACGTCATTGTTGCAGCAGCACATTGATGTCACTTCAGCCAGCAAACATGGATGAACTGCTGCTTCGCGCAACTTGCCTGTCTGACAAATGTTGACTTCGACTTGAAACGCTGACCGTAGCAGCAAGTGACCCAATGTAATTCTCCGTGTTTGATTCTGATAGCTCTCTATGTGCTGGCCCCGCAACTTGTGGGGGCGGGGGAACACCCCTCCTCCCTCCACCCGTCTGCCACCATCCCCCCACCACCCCCACCTCACCACCCCCCCCACCCCTCCCCGTCGTCCCCCACAAACGATTCCTTAATTTTCAATAGTACATTTTCGCTGGAACTCTATTCCAGATAATTGCGAAAACTACTTGGAAGCCTAATACGAATCCTACAAAAAAGAAAGAGAGTCCTGGAAGAAGACTAAGAATTCTGTTGAACTTAATCGGAGTTTGTTTAGACTTCGTACGAATCCAAGTAAGACTAGAAGGAAGCCTACTAAAGTTACTAGGAGCCCAATGTGACTTAGCAAGAATTTCTAGGAGTCTTATCGATTGAAACTAGTACTACTCCTATTGAATTGGTTTTGGGCTTAGGGGGACAGGCGAGGGTGGTGAGGGGAGGGGTGGGGGGGATGGTGTGGGGCGGGGGCAGGGATGGTGAAGGGGTCGGCTGGCATGGTGAGGGGGGGCAGTCAGAGCTTGAGGCAAAGGTGGTGATGACCCGAGTCTTCACCAATGGGTTACAAATTGTATGTGGCGATGTCTGACACAGCACGATGCAGTCATGAATCCAGAGGTAGAGTCGTGACAGGCTTTGGGGCCTTCTTTAAGATGTGGTGATTGTACCTTGCGGACTTTGCGGTCAAATGGGGGACTTCCATGTGCCAAGTGCTCAAAGCGCCTGTCGGCCAGTGGCCTCGGCAATTTTTCGCAAGACGTTCGACGGTGACAGACATGCCTGTAGCGAGAAACACACTGCAGCCGAGGACATATTCCCCTAACAACGGCAGTGACCAGGAATCCTTCGCGAGAAGAGCCGCCTGGGACAAAGCGTTGAAGCAGGTGGCGTTAGTTGCTTCTGTTCAGTTCTTCTTGAGCACATGTCGGCGCTCGTATGCGATTACAGACTGCCCTTCGGTTTGCCATATGCACAAGCCGGTGGGAGGCATGACAATCGATGGCAGGCTGTTGTGCAACGAACTCGGCCTCTGGTTTGGATCGGTGATCTGAACGTCGCGGCGGAGCGTTTTGACTCTTGTCTATAACGTGGTATGCGAATGCATGACGTTAACCGTGTGCCACCGTTGACTATTTTCCCTTTTCAGCACGCGTGCATGAGTTTTAACACGAACAAGGACGTCACGCATCCCGAATGGTTCGCCCAGCAGTGCTACCAGGACCATGGTGGAAGTTGCCGGCTGTTTGTTAGTTTGAGTTGTTTCATGGAGGTGTTCTTTTTATTTTGTTTGTTTTTGGTCTTGTTTTTATTTGTGAGGTTGCTTTGTTCTTTTTCTTGCGCTCGTTCGTTTCTTAGTGTCCTTCATCACCATCGGCTTTTGACTTTTTTTGTTGGTTGTTCTTGCTTGTTTTTTGCTTGTTGCCTCTTGTGTTTAATATCTGTTTTATGCGTTTTGATTTTGCCATGTTTAGTTCTGTGCTTTTTAATAGATACATAATTGATGAAGAAACAATACACGCACACACACGCATATAAATATAAATATAAATACAAATATAAGTATAAATATAGATATAAATAGAAATATATAAATATAAACATAAATATAAATATAGATATAAATACAACATATAAATATAAATATAAATATGAATATAAATATAAATATAAATATATATATATATATATATTTATATTTACATGTATATTTATGAAGCAAAGAGTAGTAGCATCTCTGATAGAAATATAGCATATAGACACAACTCATAAAGATCAAGCTAGAAATCAAGTACATTAAAACGACAAGAGTAAATACCGTGCCATGAGCACAGTCCTTCATTGCCGTACGACGGTATGAGCCCTTTCCAGAACCATCATGTGAGCATTGTAGTGTTTGCAAATTTGCAGATGGGGGTACCCTTCCCTTTTCTGAGCCGTGCAGAGCTTGCGTAAACCATGTGAACCGCATCGTGCGAGCATCGTGCTTCAAATGGGGGCGGGGGGCGGCTGCGCACCCCCAACCTCGGCTCTTTAAACTGTGCAAAGCTCGCTTGACAGAACATCGCGCCATCAGTAGACAGGCCTTCGAAGGCATGTGAGTCCTTTCCAAACCCATCGTGCGAACATTGTCTCTGAAAATGGGGTGGATGCCCCCTCCCAACGTCCCCGCTCACTTAGGCCGTGCAGTGCTTGCTTGTTAGTAGTGGTCGTACTACGACTGCTTGCTTCTGCTTTGGTGTTTATCAATACTTTTCTGGATGTCGGGTGCCACAACTTTTTGATGTTTATAAGTTTTTCGGTACTTCACCATGCAAAGGGGTTAGACAACGGTTCATTTGCAGACCGATACCTGAGTTCCACTGTACCTGTTCAGTGTAAACGCGGTGGCCGCACTGTTCCACAGAGCTGAAAGGGTCTGTTCGAGGATGTAGCTCAGGAGTGAAGGCTTTTTGGATGTCCAGTGCAGGTCTAAATTCATATGATAGTACAGAAGATCAAGAAGCACGAAGAACGCCTAAATGAAATTCGCACCGGTGTTTCATTGCTTCAGGGTGATCCAGAAGACATGCGTGGCCAGCCTGGTTTTACTGAAGGCCCGGTGTTGTTCTGCGTGAAAGCTTGTTTATCAAGGAACGATCATACAATTTGGTTTGCTACACGTGTGGCTACCATCTGGTGTCTCAAGAGCAATGAGGTGAGCGCCAGCGATTCAAAGATCTCCTTGTCTCTGGTCGATTGGTGGATGCTTACAGGCATACCGATCGACCCTGCTAGTCCCAGCACGCGTAGCTCTGAGACGCAGGCGATTGCACCCCACCGAGGATGTCCCGCCAGCGTCCTTTGCTGAGCTGGCTGGTCTTTTGGCACGTGCGTCTGCACGATCTCTGACAGCTTGAATCTAAGGGCGGGGCCCTATTACACTTGGCGAGGGCATCCTCCTGTCCATCAGGTTTCGGGCATACATACATGTTACATCATGCTACCATGTAGGTGTAGGTGGCATGTGTTTGAGATGCATGTTCACTTGACTGGCAGGCTGTGGCGAAATACCACGGGAAGGGTTCCTTGGCCAGCAAGAATGCTATACAGGCTTGACAGCATACCATGAAGGTTCTTTCAAGAGTTAGATCGACTCAGCACTTTGCTGCTTCACGTGAAAGCCGGCAGGAATGCGAATTGACTATGCGCTAGTGGCAGAGGACAGCTGGAGTTGGTCAAGACAGAGTTCAGAGACCGATGGTCTGCTCTCTGCGTCAACGTCTCTCAGTCATCCCTCCTTCTCTGTATCTGCGTCTTTTGCCAGTCCAGTGAGTCCAATGTTCGTCGGCCGACAAACTGCAACGCAGCCGCAATGTTGCCAGGAAATGGTGCTTCGCTTGGAGGCGTGCGACATTTTAGGTCACGGAGCTGACAGGAATGGCTTCCTTGGAAGCTGGGATGCATGGACACAAGTTGGCCAGGTGGTGCATTGCGATGGCACGCTCCGGAAGCTATGTTTCATGTCGCACACAAGAATGCCTTGGAGCACAGTCCTCGTCTCTGCAGCTTTTCTAACGGTCGAGCTTTCGGTATCCGCCATGGAACGCTCCGAACGCTCCGAGGAGTTGCGACTATTTCAGGCCTTGGGACTTGAGATTCCTAGCTGGCGCCGGCGCCTGATGGGTGCCCTGCTGGAAGGACCTGATGGCACGCAACAGAGACTCTGTGCAGGCACGCGGAACCGCACCACTCAGGCGAAGGCGCTTCCCGAGCCGGTCGACGCTTATGGGGGTGCTTCAGGTACATCCGATAGAGCTGCCCTTGCGAAACGTCAAGAAGCCCAGAGGTGGCTGGCCGCTTCAGTGAATATGCCAGGGGTGGGACTTTGAGTCACGAGACACTGGCCTTCGAACTGGCGCAATCATACACGCACACCTCTCGTTGCGTGGCGCTGGCTGCTTTAAATTGCTGGGCTTCTGATCTCTGCATTTGCCCGACAGCCAACCTCTGAACCAAGTTTGGTTTGGCCTCGGACATTCTCGCAAGTTCTACCTCAAAATAGGCCATTGAGATTTGGATGATGCCTGTTTTGCAGGTTTATGATGTGTCCAGGTAATATGTGAATCACATTGAATCGTATATCATTGGCCTTTTTTGGGAGGCGGGTTCGACATCATCATTTGTTGTGAAAACTGTCTTTCCCAGTTCAGAGTTGCGGCGCGCGCAAAGCTCATTTCACTGCGAAGCGCACCGTTTTGCAAAGTCTTGTATAGTTTCCTGCTCGGTTGTGTGACTGTGCGCTGCCTGTGCGATCCGACTGCGCTGCAGACAGCTGCAACACAAAATGCCCTATGCACGCCCGCCGCTAGCCGCTAGCTGCCCTCCTGTGGCTGCATCTCAGGAAGCGATCACTGCCCGCTTCGTCTTAGTTTGCGGCGAGACACATCAGCTGCAGCTGCATGCGAACCAGAACCGCATGTCGTCACTGCAACTCGACTGCGAGTTGGCCCCAAAGGACCAAGGAGCAATTCCCCTTTGACTTGTGCTTACAGGGCTGTGAGCTGTGGGAACTGCCCTTGGACACAATGTTGCTTCTTTCAGGTGGACTCCGAATCACAGGAGCCGGTGACTGTTCTGGATTGACCCGCTAGTGCAGAATGGTGCGAGGCTGGTGAAGACGATCGAAAACGAGAGTGCTGGGACAACATATCTTGATGCACTGCTTGGAACCTTGCTGAGATTGTCTTTGTGTGCAGTGCGACGCAGTACACCCAGAGGTTCTGATGAAGCCATGGAGACCCGGCTGCGGCCAGGCCGGCGAAGTTTTAGTGAACAGGCGTACTTGGATGCTCTCTTTTTGGGGTCTACTTTGGTCTGCTTGAATCTTGGCAGGCAGGCGGCCAGCTCAGTACTTGCAGAAACCACGGATACTGCTGCTCGGCAGAGACCTGATGCTGATGTCGAGTGAGAACACAGGGCAGAGTGGGAGAGATGTTGCGTAGCGGGTCTTCCCCATGGCCTCTGGCACACTGCAAAGTCCTGTGCGACAGCAGCCCCAAGTATGCAGAATGCAGAGGTCGCCCTCTGCGGTCTGCAGCCGGTGCTGCCGGGGCTTTAGCATCAAAACACCCTTTCGACCCGGCTTTCATTTTCTCACTGCTTCTTGAACCTCTTCGTGGCGGAGAACGACTGAGGACGGGCCACACAGTTCTCGTGGCAAAAGCTGCGGTGGGTCGTGCAGCACCTAGAGCAAAGACGCAGCAGATCCGGGAGTAAACGCTGGTGTGAGTCCATAGTTTGGTGAGTACTGGGCATGCAGCGGGCTTCTTCTTGGTAACAGGTCTTTGCCAACTCCCAGAGCCGGCAATGCATGACGCTCAGTTGGAGGGTAGCTCATGTAGACACACCACTGTCTGCCAATTTGCCTGAACGTTTCTTGGAGGCTTGATCTTTGGAGAACAGCCCGAAGAGTGCAGGCACCCTGCAGCTCTGATAGATTCTGATAGCATGACATGTGGTCTTCGGAGGGGGTTGTCAGAGGTCCGCTTGGAGCAAGAGCTCGCCACCACTGCCCGAGCCTGAAAGCCTTTGCTGTGTTTGACAAATCGACAGCAGAAAAAGCAGAAGCAGCAGAAGCAGGGGGAGTGGTCACACCATGTTCATAGCGTGGCCGAAACATCGGTATGTTTTTTCATCTTTTGCCTGATGACCTTGTCGCCAAGATTCGTCGATTTCTCGGTTTTCGTGACGGAAAACTCTGCTTTTCCGCATTTTGCCCTTCGCTGTATGGGGGGGTGAGGGGGTGGGGCTTGGAGCAGAATCGTCAATGTTAACGCTCTTCAATGGCGCATATGATTTGCTTTCTGGTACGGTTTTCATCTTCTGCTTTCAATGGTGATTGATTTTTTCTTGCTGGTTTGGGGTGGGGGGTGCGGGGCACTGTTTCCATCTTCTGCATGCCCCTTTGTGAAGCACTGTTGGAGCAGTGAAGCTCCGTAACAGCAGTGACGTGTGAAAAAAGAAAGTTTGCCAGAAAGCCGTGTTGCCAAAGCCCTGCGCTTTTTTCTCCAAACCTTGCTAACTGGCATCCTGAGGCAAGCAATCTGGCCGTTTTCGATGGCTGGTTTTCTGGTCAGCCCATGTTCGAGCTTCAGTCTGATTGCACATGGGGCTGTCGGCTCTTCGTGCCGGCAAACCCCCGGCTGAGCAAGCTAAGGGCACATGTCCATCTGCATGTGGTTCCTCGGAAGCCTGGAGATCTTGAAGATAATGACCAGGTCGCGACTATTGCATGCAAAACCTTTTGTTGGCTAAGTGAGTACCTGGAAGGTCTATGTCGCCTTGGAAGAGTGGAAGCCATTTCCTGCAGGCTGCTCTTTGGGAAGGAGTTCTCGAAACATTGGCATCTAGTCAGTTGCCAAGGAGCTATGCAACTGCAGCCGCCCCCAATCGCACGCTCCTGAGACTGTAGAGATGTGCGATGCGCGACGTGCATGGCAGTAATCCTTCCTCCTCGTTGTGTCATCGTCATCGTCATCACCTTGCACATTCCCAACACCACCAGTACCACAATACCTCGATGTCGTTACCAACACTATTTCGACACCAGCATATCAACACCACGACCATATCAGCGTTGAGTCGATCGTCAACCTTTGTAACCTCTACTTTTCGAGGACCCCCATGCCTCATCCTCGAAACCACTCCGCCCCCGGGTTAACGTACACATTGGTTAACTTTATTTGCATTTTTCCGCAGAAAAACCCCCTGTAAACCCCCTAAAGAAGGCATAGAGAGATACCGTCGATTCTCTCAGCTCGCTGGAAAGGTGACTGGAACTCTTCTGTGTCACGCGAAACATGCTCTGGTTTGCAGGCGTGGCCAGCGGATGAAGACCGCAAAAAACGGACAGGCGGAAGAATGATGCTTTTGAGACTCTTTTGATACTGCACTGTTGTGACCTACCCACAAGAGTTACTGGTAGGTCAAGTTTCTTTTTGCTGGCTGCCGGGGTCTTCTGTTCAAGATTGACCCTAACGACACCCTCCATGCACTGCTACAGCTGGGCAGACTTCGCAGATTTCTGGGGTGAACTTTTCTTAGTCCATCAGCCATCCGCTTGTCTGCGCACTTGCCCAGCTGGTGATGTCAGGCTTAGACTCGAGACTCTAGACCTCTGTAAGATTTCGCAGCAGTTCTTGCAAGTTAAGATTGTTGTGCAAGGTGAAGATATGGCTGAGGAGGCAACTGCATATCGAGAGACACTTGGGGAAGGACTGGTTCACGAGCTTGACTGCATGGTGATGACCAGATTGGTGCTGTGACAAAGAATGACCCAATATGCCTAGAACCGCGCACATGTGGAAGCATGCCGGAAGAGCAGGCCGGCCGGAACAATATCCAAAGGGCTTCCAAGGGCTTAGACAGTTTCTCTATGCTGCTCGATTGTACCATATCCGTCTTTTCCCGACCAGTGCTCGGAATTCAGCGGCTGTTGAGTTGACGGTCATAGAGGATGGATGCTGTTGCTACGTGATTGCTACCGCAGACTCAGAGGGCGGGTGTTACAAATGCCCAAGTTTCTTTGAACTTCACAAGCACCAGGCCTTTGCTAAATTCCGGATTCCCGGGATCCGGGCCTGAGTTGGGTGAGCACGGTAGGAGCAACCAGTATGCGTAGCAAAAAAGAAGCTCTTGAACCGCGACTAAGGTCACACATCTTCTTTGCATCGCCAAGCGGCTTGAGCGTGGCCTTTGTCAACTTGAAGCCGCTCGTTCCTGGCCATGTCTTGGTACGCCTGCATGTGATATCCGACTTGCAGGGATGTCTGACTGACGATGCTTTGTGACGCCTTGTGCCTGGGGCAGGTCACACCACGGCGGGTGGCGCCGAGACTTGCGGACCTTTCTGAGGAGGAGCCTGACAAACACGGACAAGCGACGACAACGTAGTGAGTCAATATGATGTGAATGTGGATGTAAAGGAGTTCGACGACCTCTTCTGCACAGTTCGCGTGGTGCAAGCTATGGTCGAACGTTACTACGGAGCAGAGGCCAATTTCCACATCGTGCCACATGCTACCTTCCAACCTGTCGACATCATCTCCTCAATGGTATCAGGCTTCGCGACTTGGCATTCAGGATGGTCCTGATGCTGGGCAGTCAGTTCCCCATGTCCATGTGCCCGGCCTAGCCTGTGGTCTCGTGGCCGTTGCCTACACAAACCATGAGCCTTCCCCGTGCAGGTGCACATCCTCCCCATTCCCTCACAGCCGGTCGACTCGACGCTCTAAAAATGTTCTGAGTGCGATGGCAACCATGCAGAAGTCCTCATGGATGGAGAAACGCTCCGATCAGTCGGTACCTACTATTGTTGGCATTGTGTTTGTGTTGCTAGTGCGAGTGGCGCACCATTGAAGCTCACATCTTGCCTTGATTGACAAGCATTTTGGCTGTTTGATGGGGGAGTCCTTGCCCGTCGCAGCTCAGGACACGACTAGGTCTTGCTTCATCTTGTTTCTGCAGTCTCAGCATGGAAAGAGCTCCACGTTTCATGGGGCAGGGCCTGACTCGATTGTATCAGGATCTGGTATCGTGCAATAACTTCACAAGTGCAGCTGCAGAATGCCAAGATGAGAGGCGCACCCCATCGCTTCAAGTGCGGAGCAAGTTTGTTTGACATGGAAATGTGCGAGGCCAATTCTTGAAGGTTCGCCCGATGGAGTTGTCGTTGAAAGCAGCCCTGGCCTGTTTTTGGCCGCGTTGTCCTGCCGGCTCAAATCAATTCGGAGATGTTTCATGTTTGCAGCACGGAATGTTTCAGAGCTGTCGTTGACTTCCAGGCTGCTTTTGCCGGACTTGTCTTCGCTGGAAACTGATGCAGTGAGAGAGCACTGTTGCGGCCAGTGACCGGCAGCTTTTGATTTTGGCGATTCTTCTTCTCAAGCTGCGCTGAAGGTGTCAGCGCCACTGACTGCTCGTGGCATCCAGCCAAGGCTTGTGCAACTCCCGCTGCCATCAAGTCGTATAGGTGGGCGATAAAGCGGGGAAAGTCCCGCGCTGCAATTCAATGTCGTCAGAGTGGCAGGCCGGCCACGGACCTTCAAGTTCTACCGAGCATCGATTGCCTCGAAGCTGTCACCCTAGCTTCCCAGTGCAACTTTTTCTGCCGGAGACAACACGTTCAAACCGTGACACCGAAAGAAGCCGCAAGTTGCCGGCTAAGTAGGAACTGAGAGCGAGACGGCCATGGAGCTTGTCTATCCGCTACACTTGTACGGTTTGCATCGTCCCTTCTTTCTTACTGCAGACAGTTAGGGCACACGTTTGCGAGGCCCGGCTGAAGGATCCTACTACACCCTGCGATGACCTTGTGCCACAAGATGGCAGGACTGCTGATAGCCTTGCCTGCTAAGCGTCTGAACAGCTCGTGTGGGTCGTGTGGAATGAAATGCAGGACAGTCAGAGTGGTATTCAATATGTCCCAGGCGCGGCGTGGAGTGTTGGATATCGTTGGACAGTCTGAATGTTCATCACGGCTGCAGTGCTGCCCCACCTGGATTCAGCTTTCTGCCTTCAAGCAGTTCTGAAAGATGCAGGGCATTCTGAGTATCACTCCAGGTGGCTCCTGAGACGGGGAACACGGAGAACCAGAGCGCCTCTAGCGAGCTCGAGCCTCGTGCGAGCGTCCTATGCGAAGCCATTCAGAGCCCTTTCAGAGCCCTGTCAGAGCCCTTTTAGATCCCCTTCAGATCCCCTTACCAGTGAAATTAAAGACGTCAAATTCCTTGGCTGCTTCGCCCCTTCCGCCTTGTGCGCAACGAGGGTCTTAAGATCGCGGACGTGTCCGACTGCCATCTAAGGAGTGTCGTCGTCCGATTCTCAATGAATCAGAGCGATGGTCAAGAAATGTCAGCTTCTTGTCAGCAAGAAAAGCTGCGAAAGTTTCAGAAGGTTAGGCATAGGGTGTGTTTGTCGAGTGCCGCACCGTAGCCATGGTTTTTGCAAAAGTGTATCAAAGTAATAAGCACTCTTGCTTGACTCCTTAACCATGTAGACCATGGCACAGGTTCAAAATATTTCCCTCTTCAACTTTCCGGACTACAAGGTGCTGAGCCGACAGTCACCCACACGGGATGCCGTGGGGATGTCCCCAAGCAAGCACGATACGTGAACACACCCTCCTTGCAAATGCAAAACACTGCAAACCATTGCTGGATTCCAGACCGAGTGGTTTGTCAGCGATTGGGCAGCCCTGCATGATCCTGCATGTGCGTGGCCATGAGACAATCCAGGCGCCTGTTTGCAGGAACAACGATGCGTGCAACACCAAGACTCGATTCGCTGGGACCTGCTTATTTGCATCGTCTTGTCGTCTTTGCGACATGCAAGGCCCATTTGTGATCCCTACGGCTTCCTTAGCGACTCAGAGGGCCAGGCTCTGAAAGCCGGTGTCTATATGAACGTGCATGCTTCGGAATTGTGCGTAGCATTCTCAAGAGCCATCGGCTCAGAATGCCGGCGTCAGAGATGCTCTGCCACTGTCTAGGTAGCATTTGCAACTAGAACCCCTTCGTCACAACCAGACAGGCCCTACAACCCTGATTTTAAAGACACCAAGAACACTTTTCTCACAACGAGCCATCCAGAGTGGGAGTTGCACAGTTTCTGGAGTAAGCCGAGTATCAGAGGCGCAAGTTTTGTGAAAGCGTGAAAGGAGAAGACGTTTTCGTGAAATGTTGCCGTTTGTTTAAAGGGACTGCGTTTGGGTGCAGCCAGGGTTAGAACCATAACGAAGAATGCAAAACAACAACAAGGTCATGCATAACACGGTTTTGGTTCTGCAGTTATCTGGACTTTGGACTTGCTTTGTTTTAGAGTTTAACATGGCTAGGATGGTGCAGGCGGCTTGGGTTCTGGAAGATATGGGCGGTTTAGACGGTTGCGTGCTTCTGGATGGGGCGGTTTCGTGCTTCTGGATGAGTTCCTAAGTATGGAGATGCCCCTCCGGCCGCCCAAAAATTGGTCTCCCTGCCTGGGACCTGCCTGGGACCCGCCGAGAGCGATTTTTGGGCTGCAAGCCGTTGGGGTCCCCCTCAGCAGCGCCACGAGGTTTGCCACGGCAGAGGACCCGGGAACGAATCCCGTCGCTACTTTGGGCTGACTCCTTGCTAAAGCCCAACCCCCATGCATTTCCGATTGCATAAATGTAGCATTACCCAGAAGTCAGCCGGCGCCGGGTCCCAGCACCGGGATCCAGCACTGGGGCCCAGCTCGCATTTCTGGGAAACCTCTACACATGTATGTTTATATATATATATATATATGTATATACATATATACATATGTATACATACATTGTTTGTATCTATACAGATAGAGAGGCAGATAGATATATACATGCATACATACATATGACTGTGTCTGTGAGGGTAATTTTACAGGTAAGGGCAGGGCTTTCCAGCAAAACAAGTCTCCAATACGCCAGGGTCGGTGGACAGCCACGATTGCCAAGCTCAACTGTGCCGAGTTTTTTTGCACATATTCGCACATCTAGGCAAGAACCTGTCGTTGGAGCTTGCAATGTTCGGCCCTTATCTTCACAGGGTTGGCATCAGCCACCGCAGACCGTCTGCCTCATGCATCCTGATGCCATGCTCGAGAGGAGTGTCACGGGATTCCGTCACAGTGTCCATGTCCGCAAATCCCAGGCTGCGATCGCAGCACTTGGTGGTTTGCGACGACTTGATCTCGGAGCCAGCCGCAGCCCCAATGCCCAATGCGGAGCACGCTGTAATGATTGCTTCATTCGTGCGGACGCCATAGTCCATATAGTCCGCATGCCGTAGAGCTGCCTCGCTTGCTTGGGGCCAAGCTGTGACATCTGAGTTCTTTTATAATTCTGCACATTCGGTACGTACAGCTTGGACGTCTGGACTTCATCAGATCGACCAACGTCACTTGCAGCCTTTCTATGTGGGCGTTGCCATTGCCCAGGCCAGATGCAGCACTTGTTTGTTTCAAGCATGTTTTGGAGCAACTTGCAGTTTATGTAAACTGCAAGAGATGTCACTTGCTCGATAGTGAACTGCTCCTGCATGTTTTAGCATCGTGCTTTCTGCACATGGTTTACGCCGCAAGTTTTTCCCGATGCTCTGTTGGGGATGAGATGATTGCCGTATCTTGATGCAGTACTTGCAGTGCCAGCAGGATCAGGTGGACAGTTGGACATGCTTTTGCATGCGACCAACTTTGTTGCGAGGCAAGTGGAACTGAAATGAGCCAATCGACTTTGCGACAGTATGGACACTTGATTTTGTAGCCAGCTCAGGCGCAATCTTGCCTCATGCATACAATGTGATAGCCGTCATCTGAGTTTGCATGGTGCATGAGGTCCGAATGGAACATGGACGAAAGCTACGCTGCGAACGGACAGCTCATGCGCTGTGCCTGCCCAGGAATCAGGTTTGTGGTGCGTGGAGGTTTGGAATTGTGGCAGATCCTTGCTCGCTTGCTCTTGCTGTAAGGTCCCAATCAGGCACTTCTTCTGATAGTGCCAGACAGAAGCCAGGCACATTTTGAACAATAGTTTGCATCGTAGGCCTTGGTGTCAAGTACCGGGCAATACTTGCTTGACATGATGTGAGTGCTTGAATATCAGGCAGTGCTGGTGACTGACTCTTGCCACTATACTTGCGAGGACCGAACCCTGTGTCGCACAGACCGTCGAGGGTAGAGGGGTCGCTTGTGACTTCTATCGGGTGTCACCTGTGACTTCTGTGCCGGTGCCGCTTGTGACTTCTCAGTCTCTGCCCTTACAAACTGCTGCAGTGTCGTTACTTTTGGATCTCCTCGCTCTCCTCTCCCTTCTCTTCCCTCTTCCACCTCCTCCCCTCCACCCTCTTTCATGGTGCACCAGATGCTCACGAGGATCTGCCCATGATACTCATGAGGTTCCCCTAGCCCCTAAACCCTAAACCCCTAAACCCCTAAACCCCTAAACCCCTAACCCTAAACCCTAAACCCTAAACCCTAAACCCTAAACCCTAAACCCTAAACCCTAAACCCTAAACCCTAAACCCTAAACCCTAAACCCTAAACCCTAAACCCTAAACTCAGGGCCTAGGCCGCCCCCCTTACGTTGGCGGGCGGCGCAGCCCTTTGACCTCGATGGCACAAGCCGACTCAGGTCGCTCGCCCGCCTCCCACAGCATGGGTACTCCCAGGGCCCCAGCCTGGGGTCCCGGACGGGGCCTCCGGCTAGGCGAGGCAGGGCGGCTCAAAAATCACTTCGTTTGGGAATTGACCCCCCTGGCCCACCCCTCCCCCTGGCCCCCCCTGGCCCACCCCTCCCCCTGGCCCCCCCTGGCCCGTCTGGTGGGGTGCCGGCAACCTTCCCTGAAACTGCCTCCCGACCCCCCAATTCCTTTGACTCTCGGACCCAACGAACGTCATGAAACTGAATTAGTTTTTTGAAGTGGACTGTTGTCTGAGTTTAGGCCCAAACCCTAAAAGGAATAGGTTTGGGTGGCTTTGCCGCCTTGGACGGCGAGAAAAGTGTTCGATGGCCCTCCACAATCGGGCCAAAGCTGCTCTTCGCACCTCACGAAGCTTTCGAGCTTGTTCCGAAACCTAACCTTCGCAGCATCTACGCCTTGTCACAGCAAACCCAAAACCCGAAACCGCAAAAGCTTAACCCCTAAACCCTAAACCCTAAACCCCAAGCCCTAAACCCCAAACCCCAAAACCGTAAACCCTAAACCGTGAACCCTAAGCCCTTACCCTAAACCCTAAACCTTGAACCCTGAACCCCAAACCCTAAACCCCGTAGACCCTAAACCGTCAACCCTCAGACTAGACCCCAATCCCATGACCGTCTGAACCCTAAGCCCAAACCGCTAACCTGTGCGAGAACGTCCAAGTTTGCAAGGTTCAAACCCGATCCCAAGGCACAAGTGATTTCATGCATTTTTGCCGAGAGGTGTTGCAAATTCGCTGGCTAGAGAAGTCACAGGTGACACCCGAGAGAAGTCACAAGCGAGTCGCCTCTCGAGAAGTCACAAGTGACACCCGACAGAAGTCACAAGTGACCCGCCTATCCCATCGAGCCTATGCATGCTCCTAGTTCCTCATCGCATGTGCTATGATGCACATTGGTAGTTTACGTGCCCAGCATCACAGCGCACAGGAGCAAGGTGCGCCAGCCCCAAAAGTGGTAACCAAGTCGCTGCACACTGGCACCGTGGCAGATGCGGTCTGAGTGCTTAGTGATCTTGCACGTGCGTCTTGCTCTCGTAAGACAGTGAATCGGCCATGAAGCAGTGCAGGCTGCAACTCGTTTTCCAGGTCTTGGCTGGGGTGAGATCCGTGTACGCCTCTCTTCCGAACGCAGTGGCAGAGGGCGAGGCCAGATGTGACGTTTGCGTTGGCTTCTGAGCTCTATGATCGCACTGGCCCCGAGCTTCAGGACATGCCAGCACGGCAAGTACAACAAGTGGAGGCACAGGACGGCGCAGTGGAAGTGCAAGAGTGGAAGTCTCTTGTCCCAAAAAAACTTGTTCACATCTGTTTACGCTTACACCGTCCTGGTGGAAGAAGGCAAGCTCTGAGAGCAACGCTGAGACCTGGGTCCTCTTCGTGCAGCGCGAATCGCCCTCGGAGCTGTTGCATAACATGACGTCATGAACCTTCAAAATGCGCTTTTGTGCTTGCTTTCTTTGCTTGCTTCTGGAACTTCTGCAGAATTCCTACGTCCATGACCGGCAAGGCAGTTCTCGTCCATCTTCTCTCTTGCTACCCTCCTCTGGCAGTACTCCGATTCTCAGCGCTCTCATCCTCACACCTATGTGCCCATATTCAAGTGTTTCCAGCCTACAGCCAACCCATTTCTTCTTTAGCATGGACGAGCCCACCCTTCAAGTTCGAATTGAGGCCATCTTTGCCTTTGCCGTCATGGCGCTTGGTTTCAGCTTGCTGGTTGGCCTCCTCGTCAGGAGCCCTGGGCCTTTGCTGATGTTCTGAAAGCCCTGCTTGACCGCATGCCTTGACAAACACGAAGCTGAGTCAGTAAGGTGATGTGCTTTGCTCCCGGATTGGCCAAAGGTCATCGCGGCTACACCTGAGAAGCGACAATTCAGTTGGGCAACTGTGCATAGACCGAGCCACGTCAACCCTTATGTCGCGCGGAAAATTGCAACCTGATCCTTTCGGGGTTGCTGGTATGACAACACCCCACGAATTCGCAGCTCGGCACTTGCAACACATTGTGTGCACCTGGAAGGCTCGAGCTCCCCAAAACTCAGCTTACGCGCCCGATCAAAGGCCTCGACGCCTCCCTGACTCTGCCCCTACCCAAGATTTGTAGCAGTTCTTAGCACCGCGTAGCACCGTGTATCATCGCAGGCCAATCGGAAGGGGCAATTTTGACAGAATGCCCACCCGCGAAACCCAAAACACCCAGGTGGTCGATATGATGAGGCAGGCTCTTCGCGTTGGCTCCTGAGTGACCAGTCGATGCGAGCTCTGTGGGCATGTTCACTTGAGCATCTTGCAATCTGTTGATGCGTTGCACAAGTTCTAGGTCTACGGATACTGCATCTTCATGTGCCTGTGATTGCTTGCGGTGTCAGGTTGCCAGCCGTGAGGCGGTCCTTCTTCGTAGCAGCCCGGTGCTGCCGCTGGCTCAGGAATCTTCCGTCATGTTTCCACTTGAAACTGAAGTCGTGCAACCGCGTTGCGTGATGGGCATTAGCTGTTGGACATGGCATGGGGCTGAGGCAGCAGCCGCAGCAGCAGCTCGTCCGTCACTTTGCGGGACCCGTCCCGGCCATAGTAGCGTGCTGCCAAAACCAGTGAAGTAGTGGCCAGTGCCGGTCAAGGTGTGGGGATCAGGGCGTGCTGCTCCGAACTGTCAAGTCGCCACACAGTTAGATCAGTTGTTTAAAGATCTGAAATCAAGAGAATGGCTCGCATTCGATTTACGTTGCGGACTTTTTCTTGGAGGGGGCGGGGGAGGGGGAGGGTCGGGCTGATCTACAAAGTGAAAGGCTGGAAAGAAAGAGCAGGAAGGACAGCAAGAAAGAAAAACGGAGAACGTGAGACAGAAAGATAGACAGAAAGAACATGGGCAAGACCGGACTGGACAGAACTAGAGGCCCCCCTCCTTTACCCTCCACCCCCGTTGCTGAGTTTAAATATCACACCGACGGAACAATTGAAGGCGTTCAAAGCAACAACAAATGACAACCACCTACTAAGTCACTGGGAAATCCCGACGCGCAACTCGCAAGCAAGGTCAACACCATCAAAGCCTGAAGATTCAATAGGAGAGTTTGCTTCAGAAGCATGCGACTCCTTTCCAAACCTGTCATGCGCACTGCAAATGTCCCTACCCCCTCCCCTAATGCTTCTGTTGGAAGAGTGTGTCGTGCGCGTTCCAAGGTGGCGAAGAAGGAGTTCAAGCCCGCCTCGCCTGGATCTTGCGGACTTGCACAAAAACTGCTTGGCCATGCGCAAGATTCCGCATGTTTTCTTAGGAATTCTCATCCTGATCATGAGTACGTGGAGACGCCATGGACTCAGGGAGTCACTTCCACGGCATGATCCGGGGCATCCCTAAGTCCCTAACAACCTCGGGCAGAGGCCTTCGATGCTCTACATGACTGGCATCCTCGCTGCCCAACTCTCAGCTACAGAGGGAATCCAGATCTGGACAAGAAGGATAGGCCAGAGTGGTGCAAAGTACGGATAGAGTTCTTTTGGGTCTGTTCTTTCTTGACTTGTCGGCAAAGAAGTGTTTGCAACCTATGCAGCCTTTGACATGTCGTGAGCAACGTTTGCAGCACACTGCTTGCAAGGTGCCTGTTGCCCCATGCTGAGTTGTTTGCGTCTGCATTGCATGCTAGACTTTTTGTTGTGTGACCGGACCTGGCTTTCGATCGAGGTCGTCAGCTTCTGGGGGCTGACTCGACTTGTCTGAGACGGGCAAGGATGCAGCACGAGACTGGCACAGTGACGATTGCTTTCTATGCAGGTCTGTAGCTGTGTGGTGGGCTTGACAGCACCTGATTTCAGTATTAAGCGCATCAGTTATCAAAGGAACATCTGTGCTTTGATGGTTTTGATTCTTCAGTGGTGAAGCCTGCAGAGTGTTTGACATCCGCGTGTTACCTAAGCAGGTCGAAAAGGTGTGAGGCAATGTGCGCAACACGCTGTGGCAGCCGGGTAAAGGGTGTTGAAAGGTGTTTTGCCGTTCTGCGCTGACATCTCTGTTTGGCATGGAATGTGGTGTAGCGCTTCGGGTCCAAGCCCACCAACAGCTGCAGCATTTTCGACACTGGTGTCTTGGCTGCATTGCAATCGCGCTCAACTTGTGTTTATTTGCAGGCCAGGAGTAGACTAGGGCACATGTCAGCTGAGGCTACCCAATCTAGCAAAAGACTCGGTATCGCAGCCTTGGATGCTGAGTCTTGCTCTTCTCAGGAACCAGCATGGCGCAGGCATTCAAGCGATTTCTGCCGCTCGCAGATCGCATCTTCCCTGCAGAGCAGTGATCCCATCAGCCAGCACTGCTTGGGTGATACATGGCATGACACATCTGAGTGTAGCATGGCTCGGCTACACACCAACTCAGTTCAAGTATCGTTTGTGATCGCATGAAGCTACTTGCAAGACGCTCACAAGTAGTCGCAAGCGCATGATGTCAGAACACAGATGCCTCAGACACAGGACCACTCTCTTGCGAAGGTGCCTAGGCCCAGATAATGATGGCATATCATGTGTGACCCCGTCGTGCCATACATGCAGTTTAAGATGTGAAGTGCAGGCCAGGAGAGACAGTAACAGTGTCTTTTTGAATCGCAGATGCTTGTGAAGTGAAGGGCATCCCCACATGCGTGGCACAATGAATCCCACACATTATACTTATGCGTCTTCAGAACGGACCTCCGGACAGTAGCACTTCATTGCATGCGTTTCCAGATACTGATGCTAACCTGCATGGAGTCACCAGGCATTTTGGTACAGAAGCTCAAGGCCCCTGGCTTAAGCTTGTGGTGCATACTTGCGGGTCCGAGATGCATGAGCTGTGCCATAGCTGTGGAATCTTCCCCGAATCTCAGAAAACCCTAGGATTTCCTGAGGCGGAAGCCAAGTCTGCCGGTGGAATTTTGCTGCCTGACTCCGCCAAACAGGAGATGAATCAGGCACAGGATGCTGTGATGCCGAAGTTTTTGTTGGAAGGCAACTCGTGATTTGATTCCGTCTCTGTTTAGATTCTGTCTTGACAAAAATGCAGGCGAAGGTTTTGGCTGTTGGACTTGGGCGAAGAAATCAGCAGGGCGAGATCATTCCGATGCAAACCAAGGCCGTGTCTAAGCATGGGGGGGACGCATCTCGGAACGTCCCTCTCAACTCTCTCAGGTCGGAGACGTCGTGGTCATCCCTCGATATGGTGGCACGGAGGCGCCGCTAAGAGTTTGACAATGTCGAGACTCCCGATGCAAGTACCTGGGAGAAACAGTTACAGTTGGACAGAACCAGAAGATCGATACTTGCCACGCAGATCAAGCTTGACGACGAAGAGTACCAGATTTATCGGGACGAGGCAGCAGCATTCCCGAATTCTGCAGCACCTGCTGATTCAGCGGTTCTCGCAGTGCTGTCACTCATCACTCATGTGGGTGCCAAGTTAGAGATTGCCGTGCGTGCTGTGCTTGTCGATTGCAGGACATTGTCGGCGTCATCAAAGAGGAGTGAGTGAGGTGACAACGGTAGTTCTTTTCCCATGGCTTACCAGAGCACATCAGCGAGCTTTTGCTTCTTGAAACCAACTTGTTCCACTCAGGGTTCTTTTGACATAAAGCGGTCAGATGCTCAAGCTTCTCATGCGCCGAACTCCTGAAGCCTGAATGGAACCTGCAGTGAGTGACGCGTTGTCACAGTTTGGACTCCGAGTTTTGTTACTGCCTTGGCTGCAGCCTCCTGAGTTCGTTTTGCAAGTTTGTAGCTGCCTCAAGTGCCATAAGTGGAAAAGAGATTGCTTTTCTCACCCAGGAGAATGGGCCAGGAAACCACAAACCTTGACACACAGCTGACCATTCGGGATGCTGGAAAGGATGAATTCGCTTTTTGCTCCAAGTTGATGTTTTGGCCAAGTAAATGTTGCAGACTCTTGCTAGATGCTTTTTCAGTGGGCAATGTCCTTGCGCCGTTACGCTTCTTCGGCTCAGGCTTGAGGCTAAACACAGGGGCATCCATGATTGTAAAATAAGTGGTGCCCGACAGAGGAGTGGCGTGTTCGGACAATCGTGCGGCATGTCACTTATATCAATGTCCCTTCCACTGCTTATGCTCCAGGACTCGCCACAATGCCGACTGTGCCGGCACGGGTGCCGGCGCTAGTAACAGCCGTTTGCTTTTTTAGAGGACTTTGAGATGTGGCCTTTTATGCTTACGAATGCTAGGCCTGCCAGTCGAGCTTCTACCGCTGTCCCTCCAACGAGGCCGACTTTGGGCTTTTCCTTGTCGCGCTGCTTCTTGACCTCAATGAAGAGCTAATGCTGCTTCCGCCGGCCCCGGAAAAGGCGCCAAACATGCGCAGCAGGATGCAATTCAAGCAAGCGCAGGTTAGCGCAGGGGGTAACTAAGACTGTGGAAAGGCAGCTAGTGCCTCGCCAGCAAAGCGGCGATGGTGGATGAACGAGGTTCTCACTGTCCCACCTACTAGCAAGACCACAGCCAAGGGAATGGGCTCGGGATAGCCTTCGTGAAACAACGTGCAGCACAAGTGGGAGCTTGGGAGCGGTGAGCGCGGCATCCCGAGCACCCGGCTTGTGCTTGTTGGGGGGGGGGGGGGGGGCCCGGGGGTCTCGCCGACTTTGAACAAAACACGGGTTTGGTTGGGGGCTAGAGGGGAGGAGCTAAAACAATCCTGCGCGTTGAGGGGCTCTGGCTCTGGAGTGGTGCGGGAGGGAGGGGCTAGCGGGGGTCCATGAGGGTCCGACTTGTGCGAGAGCAGAAAAAGCCCTTCACTGGCGGCCGGAAATGCTGACCTGAAAGGTCACAAGCTCCCGGCGCTACTTGTCCGAGGCCAGCAGCCCTCAGCAAAGAGCTACAGTAAGCTGCACTTCCGGGATTGTAGGTGGTTTCGAGGTGGTTTCGGAGCAAAGCAAACCTTTGCCTTTTGCTGGCTGCCTGCAGCTATAGACACCCTGCAAGCAGCATCGAGGGACAATACATGTCCACATAGTAGACGGGGACGTCACCAACACAAAGTGCACTTCTGCGCCGGGAACAAGAAGTCTTTGGTATGCATTTCGACAGTGCACGGGCGCAACGCCAAGCAGTTCTGACCCTCAGAGAATTCAAGGATTCAAGGCCAGAACCGCACAAGAGAACACAAATCTGGCAAAACGAGCAAATTGCTGTTGCACTCCCTTGGCATGGATGCAATTTGCTCGATTGCAACAGTACAAAAAGGCGTTGTCAACACGGGTGTTGTGAGGCATGAGGAGCCTCGCAAGCGAATCAAGAGAGCTCCAAGCATCCTAGAGCTTCGAAACGGGTTCAGGTTGAGGGGATTGCCGATTTGGCTTGAGGCCATGCCACACCATCGTGAGAATCGTCGTGCAGGACGATGTGGTCTGAAATGTTTCTCGTAGTTCCTCGAGTTTGTCAGCTCCACACGCTTGGGGTCAAGGAGCGGCTCTGCATATCAGCCACTCGCCGCCGCCATCTTCACCAACAGCTGGCAGCGTCAGGCCGAATGATTAGTCTTCCAAGCTTTCCTCTTGCTGTTGCAGTTGCTTGCAGTTGCTCTCCGGCTTGCTATAAGGTATCGGAAAGGATACCTCCGTGCTTGCACCTAGAGCGCAGGATTGAATTTGTGACTGAGATGTTAGAAACCATGCTGCCCGGCAGCCGTTTCGGACAAAGAATCCATGGCGTGTGAAGGCATCTCTCGGCCGCACTGTCCTTTTATACTGCAATACGTTGTACACGCCCTGGTCAGGAAGCGGGACACGTTGCATGACTGGCCCATGGCTGCCAATGTCAAATCCGTTTGACAATCCATGGTGCAATGGGCGGCTTATGGCGGCTTGCCAGCTCGGCTGTTTTTGGCAGTGCCGGTCTGAGCTTTGCGAGCTGTGCTGACTTCTTCCATCGCATCTCTTCGTTAGTGTTTCCACTGGCTACTTCTAAGACGTGCCGGTTGCTGAGCCCATGCATCCAGTGGACAGAGGGCCGGCTCTCGCGACGTCAGGTCCTCCTTGTGCAACGCAGTACTGCTACGGGTGGAAGGAAGCTCTTCCAGAGCTCGAAGATACTTGGTCTATCATGGTCTACGCTGGCCACACCTGCTTGCCATCACTCGCTCAAGATGGTCTTGACTCGGTGGCTAGCTTCCAGATGCAGCGTGCTTAACGTTGCTTTGAGGTCGTCTCAGTTCGAAGAAGAGAAGAAACAACACCACCAACCTGGGGTGCTTTATGGTGCTTTGCACGCTACTCAAGTGTCGTGCAAGATCACATCCTGGCGCGCACACCGTACAAATTCGGGTTTGCAACAGCAGGCGCTGAATAGCTGAAGCAGTCAGACTCAGAAGTCTATGTGAGCACCCGTGTCATTCCACACCCTAGGATCAGTCCGTGTATTCGCAGGACTAGGCTGGCGATCAAAGCAGGAAATAAATGCGGGCTCTACCTTCACAGGCATCTTTGTGAAAGCTGCTGTTGGAAGCATCCGCAGTGCCTTTAACAATTCCAGCTGTCTACGCCCGATTTCCGAAAGCGGCTGTCTCGAGGAATCCGGCGCATGGTACATTGCTGTAGTCCAAAGTCCGACACGGCTGTCTCGAGGAGTTGAGCGCGCCATATGGCAGTGGCACCCATGACATCACCCATCCAAGATCTCTGAGCCGACTGTGAACTGAAGATACATGAATATGGTAAACATTGGTGGGTTCGCTGTGCTGCTAGTGCTGTGTTTGGGGGTGGATATGGTAGCCTTGAGCGTCGCGCTATGCATGCGCAAAATCAGACTGTACGATGGTAAAAGTAAGTCATGCGCCCGCGTTTAAGTATGGGACATTCTCACTAGACTAGCAGAAGCCCAGTGCTGTCACGAACATGCAGCCCAATCAAAGGAATGTCTATGAGTGGCTCAGCTGCAGAATTCATATAGATGTGAAGGAGAGCGTATCAATGGTATCAATGCATTGCAAGGCCAGTCAGTTCTCATTTTTCTGCTTCTTCCAAAAGCCAGCTTTGCATGCCGCATTGGGTTAGGTTGGATGCCACGAAAGTGGAATCCGACATTGCCAATGCCAGGAGCGCCACTCACTTGGGAGCTTGATCACACGCCCTTGCAACAGAGAAGTTCAAAAAGTGAGGATGCCTCGTGATTCCCCTGAAGTGATGCACGCGCCAACATGTTGTGAAGTGTACACGGGGCCCAGCAGGTGCCGCGCAAGAACGCTTAACAGCGCTCCTGGAAGCCTCCCACAGAACTGAAACTCCGGGCGGGTGTCTGGGAGCCTCTACGAGCCTCTGTGTGTCCAGTGTTAATCCCACGCTGGGCTTTCTTGACCAGGAATGCATGGGTGGTGATGTACTATGCCGACTGGTGTCCGCATTGCCATCACTATGCTCCCATGTTTGAAAGGCCACACCTTTCCCTCATCATGCTAAAGTCAGCCACACCGTCCGGCCGTGTGGAACGATGTCGCCTTCCATAACAGGATTGCGGCTGCGGTGTCACCATTACATCAAGGAGACGTGGTGCCCTCGGCTTGCGCTCTCCTTTCCCCAGTCTTGTGAGATGCTGGGACTGGGCAGATACATGTTGACCTGCATTGAGGTGCACTTTGGTGCCGATGCTTGGCACAACCAGCAGTCCTTTCAAACATGAGAAGAATTCATACCAGACACCAGCATCACCAGCTCCACGCGTTCAAGAGAAACCTGCAAGTGCTCCCTTTCTCGTTTGGCTTGACCAAGCAACGTTACTCGAGAGATGCTCGCAGCATCAGCTCAGCTCAGTTGAATTGTCCGGACTTCATGGCCTTCTGCATGAAGATCCAAGTCTCGGGTTACCCAAGTGTGCGTGCATACCATTTCAAAGGCCCGGACCCCCAAATGCAGCGCCTCAACTGCCTTTGTAGCACATGTGATCTCGCATTGCACCGGTTGCTTGAGAAGGTGATACTGGCTCGTCTTTGAGTGGAAAGACTCCTGATGCTCGGTCGCAGGGCCGTGGTAGCTGCTGTGGGATGCTTTAGGAACGGTGCCTCTTAAACATCGTACCGCCTGAATTGCCGAAGCCCCAACAATGAGCAAACCGGGCTCTTGCGCACTGATGCGTGGTGTCGGGTGTCATGCTTGGCCAATGCAAGCGGTGCTGCTTCGTGATGTCTACACGCATTTCACGTAGAAGGGTTGTCACGAGATTGTATCGTCAGGCACCTGCTTGGAATGCGGGTGCTTTCAGAGAGACTTGCTTGTCAAGCGCATCAGTTCCTCACTGACGGTCGTTTTCCCACCGTTGCTGAAACGAGTGCATGCAACTTGCCAAAGCTGGAACATTTTTGAGATGCAACGTGCCTATGTGGACGATCAAAAGCCTCACGCGTTTGCCTTCGCGATTTGACTCTTTTGGAGTGTTTTTTTGTTTGGAGTGGGGTGCAAAAAATCGGTGCCATGAAGCTGTAGACGGGTCAACCTTCTGTGTGGAGTCTACTGGAGTCCGGCTTTTCAGCTTTGCGAACGGGCATGTGCAGATTCTTCACTGCCTTGCATGGACTAAGAGCATGCCGTACCCCGGGCACGATTCTCCCTGGTTGCCTTGTTGTGTGCTGCGCAGGGAAGTAGATGGAGTTTAGGGCTTGAAGTCTCACACCTTTGTCACCTGCTTGCGGACAAGGATAGGAAGATGGTGCACCAAGAGGACGCCTTTGTCGCCACCGGCCCAGGTCGCCAATGTTCCTTCCAGCTTGGCTCGCAAACTCTAGCCTTGTTTCGTTTTGCATAGAACATCCGGAACAATGCTGGTAACAGATGTTCTTGATGCCCTAGGGAGTGTAGGGGTTCTTGCCATGACATACACCTTATAACAATGAAGTGCCCCTAAGTGGTTTCTATGACACTCTGCAGAACGAAGCCCTGAAAGCTTTCTTTTCTAACGTGAGGTCCCAGAAGGTTTTCGAAGGTCAGGATGACTCGGTAGGCGACAAAGTCAGGCCTGGATTCGCAAGAATGTTCCTTCACAGTCAATCGAGACGCCTGCCGAGAGCTGAGCCAACTCTTGGAGCTTTCAGAGCCGGATGGTTCCGAAGTTCCGAAGTTCCGAAGCACTGGCCAAGGCCAACCTCACTGTGCTCGGTCTGCATACGGTGCCCGGTGCCATGCAGGGCTTGCACCCACTTGCGCCACGCAGAATCAAGCTGAGTGCTGGAGGTGCCAGTCTTGGTGTCAACCAAGCCAGGCACGGTCCCGAAGCTGCGCGGTCACAGCGAGGCAGTTGTGCTTTCGGAAGTGCCTCTCCAAGCTCCAGCAGTCTGCTTGAGTCAAGCAAGCTGCTACTGATGTAGGCTGTTGGTACCACATCGATTGCAGCAGCCAGTGTGCTTCACCAGACGGAGGTTGAAAGCTGAAGTCGCTAACGGGCTTGCGAGAGGGAACAGGGGACATTTCGTGGCTTGAGGCATATCGTGTATGACACTAACCAGGCGTTGTCAGATGCGCTTCCTGCTCTCCATTTAGTCGATGCAGAGGTGGGAGCCCACTGACATCTAGACCTTCACAACAGTGACAGCAGACTTGCTAAAGTGCGAGTAAGCGTTACTCTGAGGTGGCCATACTCTATTCCCTCAGTCAGGGGGCCTTTCTGAAAGGCTGCGGATTGTTAGTGTAGTCGTGGTGTAAGCGTCAAGTGACAAGGGACGAGACAAGAGGTCCATGGTTTTCAAAGCGAAAGCTTTGCACTGTGCTGTCAGACAGGTAGCCCGGATGGCATGCTGAGAGGTGACAGCTTGGTTGAGCTCCAACGCTCCTTAGCTTTACAGAATCTAACAGCTGCGACACTTGCCACACTCATTCAAAGCGAAGCCAGCAGAGCGTGTCGGCAGATGTTTGCTGAGGTTGGCTGGACTTCCTGAGTCGCAGACTACCAGGCTCCAGATTAGGGAGCTCTTCGCCGTGTGTGGCTTACACCGAGCACCAAGCAAGCTCCATCAAGCCCGCACATTGGAAGGCTCGAGTCATCGTGATTTGAAATCACTGGCAGACAGGACTCGCGAGGCAGCTTTGTCACCGAAGCGTTGTTGTGTTTAGCCTTCGTGCGTCGCTCCCACGAAAAAGAGAAGCGAAGCTATGCACAGCCTAAAAAAAGGCCAATTTAGGGCGCGAACGTGAATTGGCTTGGCTTCTGTTGGGCTTTGGCTCTGTTGGGCCATGGTTGGAGGGATGGTGGTTGCTGCTGTGCCTCACAAACAAGTGACGTTGTGTCACGTGCTGTGTTTCCATGAAATTTCTGCACTCTATGTGCATTGGGCTGTTCACTTGTCGAATTAAACTCCTTGGACAGCGAGGAAGTCTGGAAAAAGTCTGCCTGAGGGCCAGGCCCTGAATTCCAAAACCCGACAAACTCATCCCTGAAGCTTGAAAACGCCTTATGGTCTCGCCTAGACTTCTATCTCCCGATCTGCAATCTGAAACCACGAGACTCTGAGCTCTGAACCTTGAGATCTCAAAACTTACCTGAACCGCACACTCCAAAAGTCCGCAGCCGACCCCCATTGTCTTTTGTCATGACTGCACACCGGTTTGACTGCCGGCTCGTTGTTCTTGTCAGCGGCACTTTCGGTCGCTGTCAGATGTTGGGCATATCCTTCAGGCCCTGGACGATTCTCCGACCGGAGATGCGCCACTAGCCGAGGGTGGGGGAAAGATTCTCAGAGAACAAGAGAAGAAGCTGTTGTAGTGCTGTGCAGCTCTCCCATGAGCATTTGCGAGTGTGCATGTGAGCTATGCAATGTGGTAATGCTGTTCCCCTTGTGATCGAAGGGAAGGGGAGCCTCGCAAAGGCTAGCTGTGTCGGCCTTCCAGACAATCCTGCTGAAGCAGGGGCTGGACAGAGCGCCTCCAGAGGCACCTTTCTGATGAAGCATTGCCACAGAACGCGGGAATACCAAACCACATTCATGCCGCGTTAATTGCTTGAGGCTGGCGTCAAGCCGGATGCATACTGGCGCCGCTGCAAAGGTTGCTCGGTGCCATTGCCATGTTTGTTCAATGCAAAGAATGGTTGCAGATTCGGTGTGTGATATTGCGTGATGACTCTTGAAGAGCTTCCGGGCCTTTGCTGCTTGCCACAGTGGCGTGGCGGCCTTCCTCTGCCTCATGCCCACCCCCCCACCATGTGGTACACGTTGACGGCTCCACTTGCTGAAAGCTTGCAGTCCATTGGAATCACATAAAATTATGCGGCCTAAGGGCCTAAGAATTTACAAGTAGAGAGCTCCTTCCGTTTCGAAGGCTTTACGTGCGGACTCTGGACACTGTTTCATGTGCTGAGTCAGGCCATCCCGCGTGGTCGCGTAATGCCAGCGCAAGGTAGTTTAAGACAATGTACGCCACGCCGCCACGTGTGCAGGCCAAAGGTCCGCCTGACACAGCTGGGCAGGACAGGGCTGTTGGACCAGTGGCCAGTACAGTGTATGCCAGGTTGCTGACATTTTTGACCGACACACATAGTCACAGTGTTTTGGTTCAATTTTGGACAAAGGGTACTTGGAGTACAGCAATGGCTGCATGGCGCTGGGGGCACTCGCGGCTTACCGACACGGGAAGAGATGCTCGCGTCAACTAAGCAAGCCGAAGAGCAGGAGAGGAACAGAATAAATTCTTGGAAGTAGCAAAGCGAGCAAGCTAGACTCTGGCTTCTCAGAGCGTCCACCCGTTGACTCAATTTCCTGGCCTGCCCGGACGAGGTGGCTTAGCAAGGCAGCTGGCGAGCATCCTGCAAAGCTCAAGGAGGTCGAGGAGCTAGCGACCTCCTGCCGAGCAGGAGGTGCTTGGCATACAGCGAACGACCGTACTTCGTCCGACCTCCTGTTGGCCGAAGTTTAGTACGGGAGCCAGCACGATCGTTAGCTGTGTTTGCTGAGAGAAGCTGCGGCTTTCCAGCCCTGACTGCTGCTTCACCGCCACGGGCACTATCTGAGAGCTCACTACCTGTACGCGTGAGTTGGAGAACCCCCCTCTGCACCTCCAGTCCACACCGACGCTGAGTGGACAGCCAAAGGTTTTGCCATGGCCGAGAAACTCCAACGTGTGACCAGAACATTCCTATCCATGAAGAGCACTGGGCAAGTGTATGCGAAATTTCCTATCTATTTCATTTACCTGACAGCCCGGACGCTGGTATTTCTTTACTGTCGATGTCGCTTGTGATTCTTAGTTTTCCATCGACTCACTCCTTCGTAAACCCTTGAGCTCTCAACCTTCAATCCACAAGAAGAAAGGACCCTGCCCTGCAGAATGCACCTGAGACAACGAGGGCCTCGGAGAAGCCGAAGCTAGGCGCGAGCAGTGCTGAGCAATCTTGCAGTCGCAGCGAAAAGCTGAAATGCAAGCCTGCCGACAGCCTGCCATGACCTACCTGTCTGAGGAAAAAACAAAAAGTCTTTTTTTTTGCATGCACTTTGCCTCGGTGGGAAATTGCTTTTTAACGCTTCGGTGGGGTCTTGCCTGCACGCATTTCAATTGTGGTTCCATCAGCAGGAACTACTGACGCGCATCCGCGGCTTCGTTGCCAACTTTTTCGGCTGCCAGCAGTGTCGAGAGCATTTCCTCGAGGCAGGGTACCAGTCGAGCTTTGTTTGTTTTTATGACATCAAACTGACAAGGCCTTTGACTCTTGCAAGCGCCCACCTCAATCATGCTGCAGCAACTGACTTGTGGGAGCTGGGGGCAAGCGGTAAGCCTGCTTGTTGAAGCAAGGTTCGATCGCTGCCACCTCAAGGCTGACGATGCTGCTGGCGCAGCTCTTTGGCTGTGGAAGGCTTTGGAGGGCTAAAGGAAGGTTGCCGTAGCACTCTCTCGGGCCTCAGCGTTTGCCTGTCGTGCACCGCCAGATGCACAACGATGTGACCTTGCGAGTAGCAGCCGAGAGTGGCCGCAGCTCAGCAAAAGCAGAGGAAAGCCAGCATCGAAGCGAGTGGAAGCGCATACCAGCGCCTTTTTCTTCGACTAGCAAGTAAACGTTCTTTGGACCCATGCGAGAACTTAAAAAGCCTGCGTAAGTGGCTTTGGTGGACAAAGTGTGGTGCCGTGCCCAACTAGGTCCAATGCCAAATCTCTGGCCCGCTGTGGAGGACTTCGTTCGGGTCCCTTTTGCGCAGCCATCATGCCACCGTTGCTCGACGGCATCGCTAAAGTCATGCTATGTCGCCCAAGAAGTTTCAATTTCGGAGGACTGCAAAACTTGCAGGCTTCAAGCAGCACGCTTGTGAGCGCCTGAGATGGCAGCTGTAGTTGCCAGGCACTTTTCTACCTTTCTGGTGCTTTATGCTGCGCATTTGTTTGGTTGAGCATAGTTTAACACTTTTCTGCACTGACTGTGGCCTTGGATGTGTCAAAAGCCCTGCGGTCCAGCATCTCGCGGCATGACCTCACTTAACCACAATCCATAGCCCCTTCCTGACCAAGCAGGGATTTGGGATGGAGAAGACGATTGTTCGTTCTGTTGCTGAAGATCTGGTCAGCCATGTCAACCATCACCCAGATTCCAGTTAATCTATCGTCCCAAAGCGCATTCCTTTGAGCCGCCATTCGGGCTCCTGCGCATAGCAAAAGGACAAGCATGTCTTCCTTCAGCGGGGATGGGTGGGTGGGATCCACTTGGGGAACGTGAAGAAAACTCCTCAAAACCCAAGACGACACAAGACCAGCAGTCAGTGTTTGCAAGCATTGGTGTGTGTGGAGGTGTGTGTGTGTGTGTGTGTGTATGTGTCGAGCTAGGGCAATGCGATCGATTTGTGTGCAGCTGCTCGTTTTGTGTTGGATTTTCTGTCCGAAACACGGGATTGAATCAGAACCACTGCAGAAGCAACGTGACTACGCGCTTCGACGAAGCGGCTGTGTTGGCTCACCTTCGTCTGCTTCTCAGCTGCCGGCTGCAATGTTGTTTATGCCCTTGATGTGTCTGATGGGCGAGAGTGCGGATCAAGGTTCCGAATACTGGAGCTCTGAGCCACGGACTTGTCTGGATCCCGCTGCCTGGTATCTTTTGATGTTGAAATCGTCCCAAGGTGGCAGCAAGACCATGCAGGACTGACATAATCTCAGCAAAGGGGCAACTGCTAAGTGAGGATTCCGCGGGTGGGCGCAGCTGTTGATTTTGTCTGGCCTACGGCCTACGGCACGGAAAGTCAGGCCCTGGTGACAGGCTCTGCTCTCTTTTCAGGAGCTCTCGGCCTAAGGTCCGCGCTCTACTACACAGCTTGACACCGTTTGAACGCACTTTCCCACCCGCTCGTGCATCTGCACATCTTGGCGCCAGAAAGGCCTTCGGGAATGGAGGCTTCTCTGGCGCCTTGTCACTGTAGTCAGAGGAAATGTCTGTTCTAGGGCCCTTATTATACATTCTTCTACTGCTAGAGGGTGGTTCTTTGATTCGCCAGACAGGACGTCCTTTCATGCCAGGCCAGCTTGCTTCTGCTTTGCTTCCTTTCCACTGTTGAGCATGCGATGCGTCACCGCTGTCCCTCCTAAAGAGTTTTCGCGAACACCCAGCTCAACTACATGCTGCAACCATCTTGAACCCGCCATGCAAAAGCATGCAAAAGCACACAAAGCCGCGCTGACGAAGCCTTCCCAAGTCACATCAGGCCCTGTGGCCGAGGGCTTCCTTGGCACTTTGGTTTTTGCCGTTTGCCTTGCTACTTGGATGGAGTCAGTGGGCGAGTTCGGTCAATTTGATTGGAATCTGTCGCTGTGCTTGCCGCTGGCTAGAGTCGTCTGCGCCTGCATGCTCCAGAGTCGACTGCACAAAGGCCTTGGCGGTGCTACGCTCGATGCGGTACTGTCCCCGAGGCCCAGAGTGCCCGGGGTCAGGGTGCTAGACGTGAAACAACCAGAAACTCCATTGAACCTGGATCATCGTTCAGAGAGTGGGAAAGCCAAGCGAAGCTCGAAGCCCGAGTGTCCTTCTGAGTGTAGCGACATGTTCCGAGATGTTGCGGAGCCTTGCGAGGTAAAGAAACCAAAGGCAGCTGAGAGCAAATGCAGACCGAGCTTCATGGATTGCCAGGCTTGTGTGTTGGTGGCTTTGTTCACTTTAGTTTGCTGTACTTCTGTGTGCTTTTGGCTTGGCAGGTTGCGGGCCGACGCTGCAAAGATGGAGAACCATGACCGAGCAGAAATGAGCTGCATGTGCGATGCGGCTACGAGCTACCCGAAGATGTTCGGTTTGGCGGCCATTCTTAGAGAGATGCTCGAAGCGATCAGGCATCGCAGCATTCGCAGACTTCGCTTGCTGTGCTGATTGGAAAACAATCGGTATCAGTGCGGAAACGTGCGGGGAAATGTGCGTGGCAATGTGCGGGGCAATGTGCGGCAAGTCTGGCACCAGCTGGTCGGCCAGCAGTCGAATCTGTCAGGATGGCCTTCCCTCGGGCCTATTCGAGCATAAGCCATGACCAGATGTTGAGACAGGCCCCCTCCAGTTTGCGCCAAGCCTGCTTTTCTGCATTGTTTCTGGAACAGGCAAGCACGTACTGGGACTCCGACACACGCAGACGTTCCGCCGACCTGTTTAGTGAGCAGTGGCAGCGCAATGTAGCCCAGACAGTGAGAGACGCAGACTGACAGACAAACCTATCTACTTCAGTTCATTGCGGTGGCAGGCTATCGTGCGCATTCACCGGAGGTGGAGTGCGGGACACCACGAGTGCATGCAAGATCCATGTCTGAGGCTCAAGTTGTTTGCATCGCACGACTTGCAAATAAAGAAGCCTTTTCAGACTGAGTGGGGCTCCTAGTGTGTGTTGAGGCCTCAGCCCCAATATCCCCAATCACCTGGGCAGCTTCCACGCGCCTGGTCAGCCGCCCTTGCCTCAAGGTTTCCAGATCTATCACAGCGCAGCGTGCTATCATGGAAAATGGATTGTGGATTGTTCCTGAGGTGACTTGGTGTAGCAACGGTTTGCATGCTTCCGCCCAAGACCAAGTGAAATTGCATGTGTTTGCTGCAGAGTGAACGTCTTTGTAGCTAACTTGTGAGGATGTGTGAGTACTTAAATGTCCCAGTGCACGGCCGTGTTTCGTTGATTGTCTGCAGCCCGTCTTCTGAACGTGATTGGCATGAAGCTAGGCCAACATTCCCATGGCCTCACCGCAGAAGCCCAGGGTCATCGAGCCGGCGCCTCGCGGTCTCGCGGAGTATCGCGGGAAATCTCGCGAAGTATCGCGGGGTCTTTAGTGGCCGTTGTTGGCTTGGGACCTTGGGAACTTGGGAACTGCTTTGAACTGCTTTCAGGAAGCCAGCGCCTTTCCATTTCCCGCAGCCGCCAAAAGCAGTTGTACCTTGGCTGCGATGCGAAGGGAGATCATGCAATGTATCTGAGGAACACTTCGGCATTTGCCTCTCCCACCTGTCTCATCAGGTGGTACAAAGCAATGCACTTCGACTTGCCAGAAGCCTGAAACATGCACCTTGCATTGTCGAAGAGTGCACATTCCATCACATTCCTGCTTAGGGGGGCTTTGGAGGCCCGCCTGTTGTGCTGTGTCGGCCAGATCTGCAGCATAGGATGCTGTTGCAGATGCGCGCGTCTGTATGTGCAGGTGCACAGAGTCCGCGCCTGCGGCAGCAGCAGCCGAGGCACCGCAAGCATGACACATCTGAAATGAAGATGCGCACAGCCTGGAAGCTTTGCTCTTCTCCTCGGTTTGCTGAATCGGTTAGACGTAGCTGCTTAGACGTAACAGCTTAGGAAGCACCGGGGATAACGTACTCTTCAGTGGGCTGTTGAGGCTGATTAGCAGCCCGCCGCAAAGCTGCGCCCTCAGTGGCCTCGACCTGGAGCTGGGTGTGAAGGCGACAAGTCCCCTCTTGACAAGGCCCGGCCGCAGCGACCTCCTCGATTTCAGCCCTGGTGGGATGCGGCGCTCCTGACCGGAAAGCGCGTGCTTCTGGTCAGGGACAAGCGCAGACGCTGCCTCAGCAGATCTGCGTGCTGTCATCGGAGTTCCTTCTGCGTTTTGAGCAACAGGTCAACATCACGTCCTGCACCGTCTGCCTGGCACCAAGAGCATCCAAGACCCGGTATTTCCATGCGTTTTCCAGTGACGGAATGCACCGGAAGTCCACGAGTTCCTGCGTGGACTAAGGAAAGACAAGGCAGCGATGCCGAGGAGCAAGTCGGTACTTTCCTGTCGAAGCTTGGTTTTTGAGCGCGCTCGAAGGTCACAGAGCATGTGCAGCACGTTGCCCACGTTGCACAGGCTCAAGGCTTTGCTAAGCTTTCGGGAGCTTCGTTTGTGCTGGCCTGTCGAAGCCCATGGCCTTCAAGCTGTACGACCTCTTTGTGGCAGGGTATGACCTGGCCAAGCTTGCGGGGATGGATTTCTTTCACACCTCTGTCGTCCTATGTCCCACTGCTGCGGGCGTGAGTCGCGAAAGGATGCTAGACAGTGAAACGTTGCATGAAAATCTCGAACGGGCAGACTGCGCAGAAATGGTGTTTGACCGCCGTGAACTTGGAATCTGGTTCAACACGAACCTTGGTCGCTGGAGTCTTGAGGGCAACCAACGAGCAGCAGTGCATTGGAGGTATGCAGGAGAGGTCCGCTTGCCTGGTGCCACGGCCCTTGAGGCCTCAAAAGCATTGAAGGAATGGGCAGCAAGGCCTGAAGCAGGAAACTTCTTGGCAGGAACCTATAACCTGTTTAGCCATAATTGCAACAGCTTCACGTCAGCCATTTTGCACAAGACTGGGTTTGATCCGCAGCAAGTGTTGGCCTGTGGGGACTTCGGGAAGTCTGGAAGGCAAAAACCATGTTTGGCCCCTGAAAATGCCGCACTTAGTCCCGAGATGCACAAGCGCTTCCTCACTTTCCTTTGACTTTCCTTTGAGACTCCTGGGTCGCGGTCGAAGTGCTACAAGCGCTCTGTGTGGCATCCTGGGCTTGGCACGTCATCCAGGCTCAGCTGGACCTCGCCCCGAAGAGTTCATGCACAGCCAGGGCAAAGGCCATGCTGTGGCGAGAGGCTCCAGGGCTCCAGGGAGGCTCCAGGGAGGCTCCAGAGGGAGGCTCCAGGGAGGAGGCTCGAGACCCTGAGTCGGTGCTCTGCGCATGTCACCCGCGACTGTGGAGGCGGCAATGGCTGTTTGGACACAAGCGTGCAGCCTCGCAAAAACAAAAAGTTGTGCGAACAGGGATGCTTTGAGGAATTTCGAAAGCTTTCAGCTGACATGTCGCAATCTTGTCCTGTGCTTCCTGGGAGTGCTGTTACCTGGTCCGGGTGGCCTTGCCTAGCCAGGATGCCCCTGAATTCAGCATCCCCAGCACAGACCTGGACGGATTGCTCCGGTAAGGTTGCAGAGACTGCCAGCCGCATTGCTCCAACCTGCCACCCTTCCTCAGGTACCTCTACGGACTTTGCCAGCGCGGGCTCCGCATTACAGAGGCTAGCAGAGTAACTATCCGGTGAGGATGTGAATTCTTTCGCACACCTGCAGGCTACGTACTGCGTCAATTCTTGGAACTTGCCAGCGTCTGAGAACTCTGCATATTTCAGAACTCAGCGAGCCTGGACCGGATACAAACCTCCATTGCTTAAGGTACGGGCTCATCCCACTCAAGCATCACGGCTTCATCCTCTTCACAAAGGTCAGCCCGCAACATGCGTTGCTTGACGCTGGTCGAGTCACACCAGTGCATCTTTGCACATGCGAGCAGATTGCAGCGTTTCAGCCTTCGATTGCCTATCCACCCAATAAACTCACCGAGAGTACCCGAGGCAGCAAGATCTCTAGTTTTCATGGCCAGACCCTACGGTTCGCACAGTTCGTGCATAGGCAGATATCTGTGTAGCAGTGAGCTATGCACATGGGCGATGGGGTGCCGGCCAAGACGCTTGACCGCAACTCTTTCGGTGATATGCTTCTGAGCTTCATATCGGGGTACCGTGCAAGTCCTGAAGTGCTCGGTGCTCCAGGCGGCACAGCCACATGGTGAAGGCGCTTGCACGAGCTTCCCGAACAAAACCGCTCCCAGACGCTCAATGGCAAAACCATCGGTTCTGCACAGTTCTGCATCCCTGCACATGCGCGATTGCAGCCTCAGTTTATGTCGCTTTGTGTAGGAGAGGCCATGCCGGCAAGCAGGATTTTGACGAAAGCTCCCTCCCAGGAGCTTTCGTTCAGAGAACGGCTTTGCTGAATCAGTCAGGGGTGCGGGCGGGAGGGGGAACCCTGAATAACTTGCCCAATTGTGCAACTCCCCACCAAAATCGGTGGTGGGAGCCTTTGGGGACATGGCCACGGCCCGGCTCCAGTGCTCACAAGGCTCGGCCCGTCGGTGGGCTTACCCTATAACTCAACACCCTGAACCCTTTCTGGCTACGGTCGTTTAAGGTTTTAGGAGTGATGTCCTGGTTTAGACTCCAGACTTCGCGTGCAATCACTTGATCAGCACTCACTGCAAACCCCCGAGCTCGCAACTGTAAAGCCTAGGGCCTAGACTTTCAGCCGGATGAACCCCAAGGCCCAAACGTTAGCTTCCTTTCTTAATTAGGCAGTGCCGTCTTGCTGAGCTTTCGTTCCCCCCCGGCCACTGACTCGTGGACCCAGGATGGTGATGATGCACATGGCTTACCAAAATGCCTCAGGACGTCGGGCTGTGAACGGGTCTCAGAGTAGCAGGTCGATTGATGTTTGAAGGAATGGCGCAAACAGAATGAAGTGACGAGAGTCGAGAGTGTTTCTTTGGTGCTTTGTCCGGTGTGCCTTTCGTGAAGGACACGAGACGCCTTGGGCTTTGGCCTTGGTGTCACTGTGGGGGCTGGTGTCTTCATGGCAACTGGTAAGGCCGCTCAGGAGGCTGGACCAGCACCCAAGCTGCACTACAACACATCACAGAATGTTACAACTCTTGAGCACAGCATTGCCGGCGCCAGCAATCTCAAGGCGGTGACGCTATCGTTCCTGATAGCGGCCATCGGCTGCAGCTGTACAGGACGGGTGGTAGTTCTGCAGATGGGGTCACGTTCCGTGTTCCGTAATGTTGAGCATTGTGCATCTTGTGCGCAGTCCGGACATGACAATAGGGTCTCTCACCGGGGAAATTGACAGCAAACATGCCTTGGAAATTTACAAGGAGTATAGTTTGACGGCAATGTCTGTTGCTTGAGTTGGTGGCATGCAGCGATGCAGCTCTCTCCAATCACGAGGCCTTTGTTATGCTGAGCTGGCGGCCCTGGCTCCCTCCTCCGGTAGCTCCTACACCTTTGTCTACCACTCTGCTGGTGTCTTGGCACCCCAACAGCCCCAACGAATCCGCATGCTACATGGTCCCTTTAGCACAACAGCTTTGCAGTGAGAGGTGTGGTTCTGGCATGTGTTGGCCGTAGAGGTTCGGCATTGACAGAGCTCCACTGATCATCTGCAGAGCTGCGCGCAGCCAAGGTGAACTTCCAGCTTGTCTGGTCGGACTGACAAATATTGTGAATTCCATTTTATCGAGTGCCGCCGTGGCTCGCGGTTGGGCAGGCTACCTGCGCCTGTTCCTTTTGTCAACGGGGCTTTCTCCACCACGCTTCATGGAAGAATTCAGCTGGGGGCCTCTGCAAATATCAGCTTTGGCTCCGCTTCTCATAGCTGTGGTGGTGGCCATCAACCTTTGCGGGACATTGGCCATATCAAGCTTCAACAACGTTGTCACATTTCTGTCGGTATCCCTGCTGCTAGCCTATGCTTGTGGAGGTGCACTGCAAGTTGACACAGAACTCTGGGTTCCATACGCTCCATACGGTGCTGAGGGAATCGCCAAAGGTGCTGGCTCAGTGTTTTTTTCGTTCATTGGCTTTGACGTGCTTGCAACTCTGGGCGCCGAAGCCGTAAATGAGCGAGTCGTACCTTGTGGCATTGTGCTGACATTGATCTTCACCACGTGCCTGTACTGCGGCGTTGGAGCCGTCTTTACAGGCCTTGTAGGACCCGATGATATAGATATGACGGCCCCTCTGGCCCGTGCGGCAGAGCAGAAGGGGCTTCCCTTCCTGGCCCTGCTGGTGTCAATTGGAGCGCTCGGAAACACCTTGACCACTGTCATCGGCTCGATTGTTGCAAACCCGCGCTACTGCCTATCCATGGCGCAGGATGGACTCCTACCAGCCACGTTGGTTCGCATCAACCGCTTCGGAGCTCCGGCCCGTTCCCTTCTTGATGCTTGGCCATCAAGCTATGTGCCACTCAAAAGCTTTCCGTTCTTCAGGGTAGCAGGTAAGCCTGGTAAGCGCAAGCATGCGTGCCTTCCTCGGCCGTCGTGCTGAAAGCGCCGACTCAGAAGCAAAGAACGACAGAATTACTCAACAGCTGGACAAATATCAATGCCGAAAAAACAGAATTGATGCCGGCGACTTGAGCAGCGGCAGTGGACAACATGCATCCTCACACACACACACACTCTCCCTCTCTCTCTCTCTCTTTCTCTCGCTCGCTCGCAAGCGCTCGATTCTCAGAAGCTCCAAGAGTCAGAGAAGGACAGCAGAGAAGTGCAGGCCACATCCCGAGAGTCGCCAAGGCAAAGCGCAAACCCAAGAGTCCAAGAGCCTCTCGGCAAACCTGTAGACTCTAAGTTGTATTGCGTAGAGTCCACTGCGAGGGTCCAACAGCAGACGTAAGATGTAAAGGCAGGATGCGGCATGTAAAGGCCAGTCGGCCAAAGGTCTTGGCGAATCCCGCCGAGATGCCAGCATGCTTATGACCTATGATCGCTTATGCTGCAGGGCTCTTGCATTTTCGAAGGTTTCGGCTTGAACACACACACACACACACACCGAGACAACAAGATGACTAGCCAACAGGCCTGGAGCAATGCCCTGATCGCCTTAATCTCCGACCAGCGCAGCCAGACATGAAGCATATCTCTTTGTGTGCGGTGCTAGAAGTGTGATGATGCTCGTGCATCGGGAAAAATGCAAGAGTAGAAGAATATATACTAGCAAAATAACCAGAATGAAGTAATGCAATATGTCATGATGTCGTTCTGGAACCTAGGTGATGGTAGGTCCCGCAGTGGTCATTGCAGCGCTGTTCGACTTCACCGCTGTAGCTGACGTCGTCTCAGCCGGTGCTCTAGGACCCTCGGCAACTGAGACCCCATGTGATTAGCCCGTTACGATGGGTGGTCCACGAGACTGCATATGACTGCATTCAAACGGCAACTCGAGATGGAGAGAAATCCCCAGAGAGCGAAGAAGGGGAAATGCAGAATGAAGCATGACATGTAACATGAAGTGAAGCATGAAGTGCAATGACTGGGATTCGCTGCGCGGCGCGGCAGCCCTCTCAGGAACCTTCGCCTTGGTCTGTGCATCTCTGATCCTGCTGCGATGCCCGCGTTCTTGGGACGCAGGTGCTTGCAACGTGTAGCTGTTCAGGGGTCTTCCTCTCTCATACGGGGCTTTCTAGGGCGCAGGTGTAACGATTTGTGAGCCTTGAAGGAGCTCCACACGGAGAGGAGTCTGCGCACACGGAAGACGACGATGACTGTGGGACGTCCAAGGCGCCGCCGTCTGCTCCAAAGTCAGCTACTTGCTCGCACTTGTGGATTCGCCACAAGAACAGATAAGAACCGAGGGTCCACGACAGCCGACGGCAGACTGTGCGTGTTTTGTTATAGCATATGCTACCGTGTAGAGAGCAGATATCAGAGAAAACTCTCTTTGGCATTTCTCATGCTCTTCGCATCGATGCGGCCAAGGTGGTTCTAGGCGGGGGGCCTCTCTGAGTCTTTGAGTCTGAGAGTAGATTAAGGCTCAAGGAGTAGTAAAGAGCAATCCTCACAGATCATTCGTTTGGAATGGCAGTCTCAATCTGACTCAATTGGTGTGGCCAAGCATTGTAAAGAAGTGAGCATGCTACTGTCATCCTGTGGGAGTGAATGACTTTTGATCGCTGTGCCAGGCATGGCCAGCTTCGTTGTCTTTACCTTCGTTGGGGGCATTCTCTTCCGAATGCCCCCCGGCGGCCACGTGGCTCGGCTGCATAGACATTGTGAACCTCAAAGCCGCCAGAGAAAAGGCCTGCTTTCGAGCAGGTCTGGCCAAAACTGTTGAAGCAAGTGAGGCATGGTTGGGTGCAGTGCTCACTGCAACATGGCTGCACACCAAAGACTTGACTGTCTATTGCAACAGATTTGTCGTCGCACAGAACCAAGTAGCAGCAGCTCAGAATCCAAGGTTGGCGCTTGTGCTGCGATCGCGGCTTGCGTCGTGGCTTTACCCTTTCTCCGTGGTGACGAAAAGTCTCATGTGCCTCGAGCAGAGATTGCAGCGTGATTACTCAACAGCTGTGACAACAAGTGTCATTTCTTTTGCACTTTAGCACAAAGATTCTCAGAGCCTTGGTTCGAGATGTATCAGTCCGCAAAGCTGCAATTGGATTCTCCAACTTGATCTCAGTTTGCTGTGACAGGAGTATTCTTGCAAAATCTTATGCCCGTGTGCTGCAGCGAGCTTGCTCCATATGTGGGAGCGAGTCGGAAGGGGGTGGGAAGGCATTGTAACGTGCGAGGTGCAAAATGAAAAACTCCAGCACATTGTAGCTGAAGCCAAAGAACGCCAATGCTTGCAACCCTCCGTCCTGTTGACGGATACCAGAAGTAGGCGTCAACTTCAAGCACCACTGACACGCGTAGCTGCCAGAGGCCCGCGCTGAGACTACTTCTCGTGCCGGTCAATTTCGAATACCACTGATGCCGTTACTGCCTCTGCGACTTGGTGAATTGTTTCCGTTGATGCTGCGCTCCATTGCCAAGGGCAAGTTGATGGGTGAGCATGTGTCGAGTGTTGTTTTCCAGCAAGGTTGGGCATGTTCATGAATGTCTCTTGGCTGGAAACAGACAGACGTCAGTATTGCAACACCGAACTGATTACATCAAGAGTTTGGAAGTCCAGCTAAAATTTGCTGACGGTCAAATTTTCCGTGCAGCATTCCATGCGGGCAGAACTAGTTAGCTACAGAGGGCGCGTTGTTTCGGTCACTGACAAATGGAGCGGCTTATGGCAGGTCGCGTTGCTTTCGCAGATGAGCTGGCTCACCCTGATCGAGGTTGCAGTTGTGCAGGCGATGGGAGCTGCACCTTGGAGAGATGGAGGTTGTGCCGATTATGAGGCAGATGTCGTTTATTCCTCCTGTGTAGACGCTGCCTCTGTGCTGTCCAGGGTCTGAAAGCACAAGTCTCGTGCATTCCGAGTACTCAAAAGGTCCGTGAAGTTCATTTGCTTGGGAAAGCGGGTAGCTCGAACCAGTGTCGGACGCGCTGCAGTTGTGCCCTCGTGACTAACGATCTGAGCTTTTCGAACTCCAAGGTGCCACTGCCATTCCCAGTATTCTTGAGATTTAAAACCTTGTTAAGCCCTGTTGAAATTAAGTTTCTCGTGGGCCTTGATTGAAAAAGTTCAATGGGGGCTCCGAGCCCTCCAAGAATGTGCCGGCGGGCTGAACGAGGCTCCTGTGTTCTGACAGCCGTTCGTTTTGCAGTGAAGAGTGCTCCAGCGCCTGCCATGACCAGCTCTTTGCTAGCCTCGGCTGGAGAGGAAACGCAAGAAGCCAAGAGACTTCAGCTAGAGACGCAGCTGCACAGTTCCATGTTTCCCATCGATCAATTGCAGCTGAAACTGTCCCATAAAATCCAGTGGCAGAAGGACTTGCAGAAGGGCAAAGTTGGCAAAAGCTCAGAAAGTCTCAAAAAGTCTCAAAAAGTCTCACTAAAGTCGCACAAGGTAGTTCAGAATGTCATTCTGTCATAAAGTGTCGCCTTTGTGCATGTTGGACCTAGGCATATTGTGTAATTATCTTCGCTCGTGCCAAGAAGTGCTACAATTCTACAACCATGCACGAGATTCAGCAGTTCCAGCTTGGTCGGCCTTTGTGAACGTGGTGTGGTTTCATGGGTTTTCTTTAACGCGTGGTCAGAGCGTAGGGTCAGCAATCAGTATATGTCGAGGCATTCTACTTTGGCTACTCGGCACCTCGCAGTCATCTGAATAGGCACAGAAAAAAGGACAGGGGGGGTTCTTAGCAGCTTTGCGGCGTTTCATCGCACGATGCGGACGGAAAGTCATGCGTGCGCAAGCTAGTCTGACTTTGACTCGCAATGTTACTCCGTGTTAGGTGCTTAGCAAACGTTCCATGCCCCTGCAGACCTGGAATCCCGTGTTCGAGTGCGCAGTTCCGGCGGAAGAGACCAATCAGTCCTGACGCCTGGACACTGATAGGCGCGCAGGCAGCGGTCTTTGGTAGACGTTTCACGTGCCGAGAGCATGTTAAACCTTGCCTGCGTGGAGTTGGACAAGTGCACCCATTGACGAAGCGAGCTCCTGCTTTGGCAGAGGCGCGTCATGTTGCACAGCATGCCAACACAGCGCAACACCAAACATAGGAGCAACTGCATCACACGGCCGTGTGTCTAGTTTCTTGTATGCATTCGTCTCATCTCGATGCAGCAAAAACAGCACTCTAACAATGTAGCTGAATGGCACCATCACAAACAGCGGATGTGCCAATCACAGGATGAAGGCTGCCTAAGAAGGTCCGGCTGGCTTCTGCGGTCCACCCCGCTCTTACTCATTTTTTACAGCTATGAGGCTATGATTCCCTGAAAGCCGCAGCCTAGTCAGCAATACATTGCATGTGTCCCGGAGAACCTTGACGTGCCGACAGCAAGAAGGTTTTCACACTCCCTGAAGATTGAGGGGAGATTTAGTGTACAGTGATGCCCTCAGTGCATCTGTGTTCAAGAGCAGATGTGCATCTGTGGTTTAAAAAATGGCGTGTCTTGAGCCTGGAAGTTTGCAATGGTTTCTGTTTGAACGTCTTTCTCGAACGGAGAGCAGCTGGACGTGCACCTCCGGGCTGCAGAATGCATCAAACTCCAGCAACCATGCTGACTAGTGGCTAGTGCTGACAGGATATGACGTATGACATGGATTGGCACAGTGTCTTGAATGCTCTCGCTGTCAAGTTTGCCTTCTTGCAGGGTTGCCGACTGGACTCCTATCTGACACTGGATTTCAGCTCGAGGCTGTGGGATGTTGAATGATGTTGATTCCAAATTGTGTACCTGCATGTGGCTGGCGTACCACTCATGTGTCGATCGTTGCAACTTGCTCGTTCCAGGGGGATTCTCTGGGACACGTTCGACACGTATCCCGATGTGCCCGAGGGCACATTCTTTGCCAAAACGTGCTTGACTCAGTGTGTCATGTCCTAGCGCAAGTGTCGGACGAAGCTCAACTCATCAAGGACGGCAGTATCAGACATTGTCAACGCAACCCAAACTAAACCTCCTCTGCAGAATTCAAGCAGCCACTGCCACTGCCACTGCTGGACAAACACAGCATCGCTGAGGTACAACATCAGTTTAGATCCGCTGGCTCTCAGAGAATACTGCAAGGACCGCTGAGATTGCATGCTGGGTGTTGCAGCATGGGTGCAGAGAGATTGGAAATTTGGGCAGAATCAGAGCAATCAGTTTGGAGGACAAGATAACAAAGAAGACCAAACACAGACAGACGAATGAAGAGTGGTGCAGCATTTCTGTCGTGCTGCTGCTGGGCTGCTGGGTGGGGGTGAGGGCCTAGGGTTTTTGGGGTTTGGGTTCGTCAACGGTTGTTATTGCTGACCATCATCTTGGTCAACGAATGAGTTTGAAGCCTTAGCAGTACGATACTTCAAACGGTTTCTAATGGCTTGTACGAGGGGAGGGGAGTCTTCACCGCTAATATGGCTGGCAGCTTAATCTAAACCTTACAGCACAAAAGCCTTCAAACCTTAAAGCCCGTACCCACAGGGATGAGTCTTTTGAACATGCTTCTGCTTTCGTTGCATCGGTCTCGGGTTTTAGGTTGTCTTTTTGGGTTTTGAGCTTTTCGGGCTCGGGCATTTTTATGGACGTTTTTCTGTGTGGCTTCTTTCAGGATTGCGGTTTGAGGGCGATGTTAGTTTTTGAGGGTTGGGCCTTTTCATGGTTTAAGGCTTTAGGTTTGCGCTTTGGTGCTACCCCACACTGCAAGCATGCCGTCCAACAGCTCTTGCCTCTTATGCCCCTTGTTTATCGGCGCATTTTTGCTTACTTTCGCAGCGGTTTGTTTTCTTATTTGGCTTTCGATCACGTTTTGTTTTGAGATTTCGTGTCTGATGTTACGGTTAGCTGAATGTGTTCCTGAGATCTCGCTGGGTTTATGATTCCGTGCCTGCTGATTCTGAATTTGTCGTCTGATGTTGGGATGTATGTCAACGTGATAAACTGATCGTGGCAACGATCATCGATCAACCAAGGGCACCCACGCTGCACATCGTTGGTGCAAGCCGAAGCTTTAGCATCAAACCAGTAAGTAAGCAAATTGAAGGACACGGAGCCGTTCTCGTGGCCTCACAATGATTGCAAAAAGTGGGCCAAAGGCATGTTGCGGGTGTGGCTCCCAGTGACAACAGTGACAACAGAGGGCAGTGCACTGCGCAGCACAAATGCTGCCATGCCATCATCTGAGTTGATGGGCATCAAAGAGGACCCAGATGTGGATGGCCGGCGGCAAAGCTGTTTTGTATGTTTTGGCATTGTTTCTGATTTGAAGCAGCAATGCTTGTCTGATCTACATCTTTGGAAAGGTGCCATCGACAAGCTCACGAGGCCTCCCAGCTTGCCAGCGATGAGCAGATGGATGAGTTTAAACGTTCTAGTGATGGGTTCAGCTTAAGTTTCGCCGAGGTTAGGAGGCATGGAATGCACCCGCCCCCCAAGCGGATGCAATAAAGGATGAGTAAATTGGCCCGCCTCTTCTTATGTTATCCCTTCTTCGTTCCATCCTTGTCTCGTGGCATAAATCGCATCCCGTCTCATCCGGCGCCCACACTGCAGGGGAAATATGCGACTGAGAGACATCATCACATGTGGGGGCAGCACTGCTCCAAGCGCGTCGCGCGGTGGGCTTAGCCCAGCAGTGCTTTCAAGAAAGGCAGTCCTTGAATTCGCTACACTGAGGTTTCATTGGCTGCATGCAATAGCAGGTGGTGCGCGCAGGACTTTGCAATATTCACTCAACATGTTGCAGTCGACTTTTCTCTACGCTTGATCGTCTTCACTTGTCTCTGCGTTCATGTGATGATGCTGTGCTACCTCCGACCATCTCAAGCACCATGATGCGGGGCTTGGCGGGCTCTTTGCAGCTCAGCCCCCCCTTATATCAGGCCGGTGCCTCATTGCCAGGTAGACTTGCTTGGTGCAGAGCTTTCCCGTCCAAGTTGCAGGCCTTCCTCTGCACGTGTTGACGTGTGAAAAGCTGGAGCACCTTCGGCAAGAGCCTCGGAGTCCGTGACGAAAGTACACAGCGTGTGGCAAGTGCCATCAGTCTGCTCTTGAAGGCAAGACGATGACGATCATGGTTGTGCGAGCGGTGCCAACACTACTGCAGATTGCTCAGACTGCCGTGCTTTTGGGGCGAAAAGGCGGTGAAAGGATCCTGAGAAGGCGATGCTGAAGCTGGGTCTCGCCACAGAGCAATGTCAAGGGGATTCAGCCTGTCTTCGCCTGAGGCTCATTGTTTACAAGATCCACCTTGCTGCATCCAGCCGCGGAGAGGTCTGGAAATGCAAGTGTGAATTGGACAAGGAGTTTTGCTGTCGGTGTAGCACATCTCCTGCATCATCATGGATCATCTATTGTCTTGGCGAAATTGTTGCCTGCTGTAGCTCTTTTTTTTTCTACTTCCCTAGCTCCCAAGCACGGCTACAGCAAACTTAACAGGAACTAGGCCTCGTGTGAGCTGTGCAGTAAAAGCGAAAATGGGCAGTACCAGTGGCGGTTGGGAGTTTTTGCGCTATTCGTAAAAATGTGATTTCATGGGGGGTGCTTTCATGTCCTTTCGTTGTGAGTGGGAGGCCAGCAAGGAGAATGTGCTGTGCATGTGCGAGGTATTGCGAGGTCACGGCAGAAGAATAAGCGTTTTCAGAGGTTGTTGGCCGACGCCCACACATCCTTCCCTTTTCCTTCAGTCTTTCCATGATCCTTTTTTTGCGTTCCCACTTTTTCCTGCACTTCTGGCAGATACAGTTGATATAATGCTTAAACGTAAAATGACCGTCTGCTGACCTGCGAGGGGATCACGCAAAGTAAACTCGTCTTCGCTTTTTCGGTAGTGTTCTTTTACAGTAGGAGCCACCTGCAGCAAACCTACAGCAAAAGAGGGGCCGATATGAGATCCCTAGGGCAGGACCTAAGTCACGGGATTGGGGTTCCATGAACTCGCGATGCCAGCGGAATGTTGGCAACATGGTGAAGGGACTTCTTCAAAGAATCGCATCCATGCATGACGGCGAGGTGGAAAGCATTGCGCTGTTTTTCTGCGTGCAGGCATCTCTCGAATCGTCGGATTCCTCAAGCGTGGACCTTTCCGAAGGCGAGCAGCCTTAGCCTTCAAACATGAGAGGGTGCATCGACAAAACATCCTGCAGGGCCAGTTTAGCAAGATGGGTGCTCGCTCAAAGATGTCAGTTACCATGATATACCATGCCTGCGGCATGCATGCAGGTCTTGCAGGCACGTTGCTGACAGAGCATTGCGAGGAGGCCACGTCAGCGGCAAATTGTACGTGTGCAGCGTGTTTCCATCAAGAGGCAGGCTTTCGCGGACGGTTTGTTCACAGCTGGCCATCTCACGAGGCTGTGCATCGGAGTCGCTCGGCCAGTGAGACGATCCAGGTTGCTGAAGCAGTAGCTAACTTGGTCACTGGCTTGTACCTGCATGACCTCATGCACTGGCACCTTCGAATCTCAAGCGTGGCAGCTCGTTCAAGTTTTGGCTCAGTCCGACAGTCCTGGGCTAGGGCAGTCGCAATGTGACATTCGCAAGCACCTGGAGGTAGAACATGCAAACCTGCATCTGCCTACTGTATTGCAAATGCTGGGCCTGCAGAAGTTGCTGCCCTGCGCCCCCATGGCAGTTTGCTTCCTTGACCTCGTTTGATGATGGTGCATGACGGTGCTGGTCACAAAGTGGTCGACTTGGTGGAAGTTTTCCCCTTTTCTCCCCACTCTATCAAAAAGGTAAAGCTCTCAGCACAGGCGAGCGATGCGCTTGGGCGACGCGCTTCAGGACGCATGGACATAGGCTGGGGGGTTCAGGTCAACAGACCCATCCAGGATCCGTGTGACACTGCAGGACTTTCAGCTCTCCTGCTTGCGCTCCGAGGGGCTGACGGTAGCTCCAAGCGATCGGTGCCTTGGCTGAATCTGAGTATGGAAGGTGCCGCCGACTGAAGAACCCACAGTGCAGCTCAGGATGGTACAGCAACAACTAAAAAGGACGCTTCTCAATTGCAGTGAAGCACGAGACTTCAGACTCGCGGTCGGCAAAACGTCCAACTCAGGTCGACAACATACACGAGGAGGAAGAGGGTGGCGAGGAGGAGGATGAAGACTACGTGGCCATCGAGCCAGTCAGCGAGTCCGAGGACGCAAAGCAGCAAAGCAGACTTTAAGTCCGTCCATGTACCCTTTTTGCATCCTTTGCATGAGAGCGCCAGTAGATGCCAGCATCCAGCAAGCTTCCAGAGGAAGAATACTTGGAGGATTCGGAGGAGAGCCGGAAAAGCAATTGTGGATCTCTGCGCTGTGGCCCCTCCATGGCACAGCGCTGATGCAGGAGTCTTCCTTCGATGATGATGAGGAGACGGCATGGTCTGGCCCTTCTTGTGGCGTTGCCCTGTGAAGTTCAGTGAAGGTACTTTGAAGAGTCTGGTCGTTTCAAATCAAGGTCCGAGCTCGAAAGCGGGTCGCTGGCACAAATGTCTTGCAGTGCAGTAGGCGACACGCCCTTGCACATTCTCAAATTCCCACATTCACTAATTTGCTGTACTTGTTTTTCACAAGCATGTTGCAGGGTCATCTGCATCTACTAGGTCCAAGCCCAGGCACGCCCTGTTTACATGCTGTGCTCGGCGTGGAGACAGACACGTCTTGGCTTCGACTTTGAATGCATGGCAACGCTTTGAAATCCGTACGCAACCTGGTTGAAGGCGATCGGCAGCTGTTGCAAAAGCAGAGGCGCGATCTTGCGACTGGAAGCAGTCACGCTTGCGCAGCTACTCATCACTGCCAGGACCCCACACTGGATCCTGAGGAGGATGCATGTAAGCTGAATTGCTGGGGCCAGCACTCTTGATTTGATGATGTTCATGATTCTCACGCAGTGCAGGATCTAGACGAGGATGAGAACCAAAGCTTCGTGCCCCTTGACCTACGTTTTGGTGGTCAAGAGGCAACTCCGTTGTCCACTGTCTACTTCTTCCCCTGGATGGACCATGATTGGATGATTCCTTGAGTGCAAACGCAGCCAGGAAAATCGGGGGCTAACTTCTAGGCTTGCTCTGTCTGATGTTGTCCGGTTGTGTTTGTGGTTGTCTTTATGTGCCTTTCAGTGGTTTCAGTATGTGACTTTCGCTGTCGGTACGTTTTCCTTGGTGTGTCTTAATTCGCTTCTTGGTGTTGTTTTGTTTTCTTCCGTACTCGTGGTGTTGTTCATGCCGGGGGGGGGAGGCGAGGCGAGGGCATGCAGCTGGGGGGCAGTTTTGGATCGTTTACGTCCATATTGTTTGGGGTCTTCGCCTGTGCTGTTTTGGTTTCGGGGCTATAGTTTTCGTTTTTGACATTGTCTTTCTCTGCTTGGGAGAATAGCTCTGCCGTGTGCATCTGCCACTCCGGAGAAGCCGTCGCAGAGAGCCAACTCCACCCCCCTGGCCCCGCCCCCTTGCTAGATTGGACCCCGGTTCTGAGGCTGAGTTTGCACTCCCTGCATCATTGAATGCGGAGGCAATGCGGCTGGCTGAGTCTGCAAAGCCCTTTGAAGAAGGCGCTCCGGCTCCAAGCTTTCAGGCACGAGGGCAACTGATGGTACTCGTAATCGCTTGCAATGGTTGCGTGGTACAATGGCAGTGGCCAGGATGAGAGCTGGCAAGATTGGGGTGACCTGGCAAGTGCTCCCAGGCGTTGCTGATTTCATCCAAATGATTTTGTGAGCAGCGCCGCGGATAGATGCTCAGCTCTTGTAGAACCTTGTGGCAGGCAGGGCGACCTGGGCTTCAACAGCTTCGCGGCAGCACGGCTGCAGGCACATCAGTGCCGGATCAGGAAAGCAGGACACCATCAGACAGTGCTGCCAATTTCAGTGTGGTTATCGGTGGCTAGCGTTAGCGCTTTTTTGGATCGTTTTGGATCGTTCGGATCGTTTCAGGTCACGTGCACCGATCACGCGAAATCACATGCCCCGTGGCATCCTCGCCTCGAGTTGAGCGGCGCTCGGCTGCGCATGGCGGTGCTAGAACATGCTAGAATGACGGCAGGACTGCAGTCCCATTGCCCTACACTGCAGCCTCACCAGGCCCAGGAGTCACGGAGTTCGATAGAGTTTGCGTCGGTTGCACGTTTTGCTGCCTTATCGCACACAGCGAGCTTGTGATGTTTGCCAGCTCAGCCCAGCAAGCCCAGCCAGCATGCTACAGCCATTCATGCCGTACTATGAGCAGCAGGCGTCCCCACCATTGGAAAGCAGACGTGGTTGACATCTTGTTGACCCCTTGCTTGAATTTTCTTGAGTCTTGCAAAGACAGTGCGAGGTGCCTTAAATGGATGCAGTCGGTAGGGTGCTGACTGAGAACGTCATGACCTCTGCCTTGAAGAGCAGAAATCAGGAGCACCAGCAGCTGGACAAATTGAGGGCTGCTAGTCAATTTCCATGTGCCAGGCGGAGGGTGGGGTCCGGCATGCCGGACATGACACGGGACAAGTAAGTTAGGCACGCACGCACAGAACCCCCGCGGACTCCAAACTGAAAGTCCGAACCCCTTCAACTTGTTGACGGTCAACCAATAGCATCCGGATAAGATGATTCCTTTTCACTAGGTTCGAAGCTTGCATACACACCGCACTTGCCGGTCTGACCAACCATCCAGCATGTAGACTTGATCGCCGTTGCAGGCTGCAGTTGCTTTCTTCCTACACCCAGTTTCTCCAATCCAGAGGTGCGCCAGCCCAGCCTTAACTGCGTGGGAGTCCCATCAGCTGTTGGTGCTTCTGGCAATCATTGGTAATCCAAATTGGGTTAAGGCTTCTGGTCGATCACCCGACCGGCTCTGGGAAGACTCGCGAGATGATTTGCGTGAGCCTGCCTTTTGGATCACTGAGCAGTCGTTGCATCTTTTCATGCACTCTGGTCTGCAGGTCTTGGATGGCTACTTCAGTGACAGCCGACCAAAGGTTCCAATTTTTCCAACGCAGGCTGTCTGCAGGTGGGCGCAGTTTGAGCAACATTCGCACTGTCTTTACACTGCATCGTGTGGTGGGTGTATACAGCCGCAGTTGGGTTTCAGGAACTTCTATGTCGAGTTGCTGTCGTGGCCATCAAGATACCGAGATTATTATTGCAGTATCTGCCCAGGCTGGATCACGGATGTCATGCTCCACTGATTCCCACTTTCTGACCCTTGACGCAGGTGGAGCCTTGCTCGCTTCTGGGACGGCGGTTTGGCAAGGGAGGCGCTGTAGCCACTGGAACCTGGCCATCCCGACCTGCTTTGGACTTGGAATCAACACTTTGCAGATCAATGCGATCCTGGCACGTCGACAGTACAAGTTTAATTCCCGCTACCGGACATTCTGATTGATGTGCTCATCCAGCTCTGCACTGCCAAAACCAAAGCCTCAGCAAAGAAGGCAGCAGACCGAGAAGCCAAACAAAAGGTCCAGAACAGAGCTTGCCCGGACGCAATTTGATGCATGGCGAGACTTGGCTTGCTGGAATTATTCGGATTCTCGGGTTTGCCAGGGCCGGCTTCCAGAGGCTCGGCTGCGGGAGCTTGCCCAGTCCTGCCGTGAGGTCCTGGAAATGAGGCAGGGAGCTTTGCGTCTGCGCAGTGCACACTAGTGTAAACAGTAGTGTAAGAGACGTCAATATCGAGAAATTGAGAGCATCGATTCTCTCTTTATCTCCTCTTGGCACAGTGTAGGTGAACATTGCAAGGCAGTGCAGGGATGACTTTGGGGTTGCCTTTATTGCGAGCTGCACGTTGACAGGGGAGCATGCTTCGATGGACGTTTGTGCCCAGCCAGCAAAGGGCCTTAGGGCCTTACAGCAGATGCATTGAACCTCAAGCAGCATTCTCCACATCAGCAACTGCTGAGGCGCCCAAGCATCCGAGAGGCTTTTCTTGCCAAGCACCCTGGCGAGAAATTTCCAGGACCATCTCCACGTGCTGAGTCTAGGGTCTAAGTATCTGGCTGTTTCAAGGACTCGGGTCACACATGCGCACACAAACACACACAGCACGTCTCGTCTCACCTGTTCAGCGTGCGAGTTGAAGCGGAAGCACTGCGCCAGGAGCGCCCCTGCGAGCACTAAGCTTTGCCAGCGCTGGTGGAGGCCATACCAGGCCCTGCGCTGAAGTCTTTTCCGGGGTTTGTCTCGGACGATGCGTGTTGCGTCGATCGTCGGGAGCCCTGCCCGCAGCCCTGTAGGCATCTGGCTCTGCCTTTGCAACCTTAGCTTCAAGGCTTCAATGTCGCTCGGGCGGACGATGCTGGTGTGGTTGGCAGCTGTCTGTCTGGCGAGGGCTGAGCCTGTTCTCCCACAGAGCTTCACCGTCTACTCATCGCCAATTCAGTTGCGCTATGGTGAAGTGTACAACCAGATGCAGGACCCCATGGCTCTGCCGCCACATATCGTTGAAAGGTACTTTGATCAAGGAAAAGCCCTGGCCATCTCCGGTTTCGATGCCGACATGGTAAGAAAAAAGAACGGCGTGGAGACCAAGGTCAAGCTGAGCGACCACTACCTGCACCACTACATCCTCGCGATGGGAGACAACAGCACGATGAACAAGATTCAAGAGCGGGCTGCTAAAGACAAGATGTTTGCTCGGATGCTGACTGGTTGCCATGCTATGACACGTTCTCATGTACATTCCTTCCTGACAGAGACGAATGACGATCCCGACATTGTGTACTTCGGCAGTGCAGCTGGTGCAGAGTACCGTCACAACCGGCAAAGGTACCAGGCGCCCTTCCGCAGAGTGATCAAGAAGCCCCATGTTTGGGCACCAACTTTTCATGTGATTAACACAAACCGTCCTTTGCAGAACACTTCTCTGCCTTACTCGCCTCTGCTGGAATGCCCATGCACGCCACAGCGGAAGATTGATGTCAAGAATGGGAGTATTGATGGACAAAGTCCTGACCCACCCATCCAGTGCTTGAGCTGCAATTAGCATGTCATGCCTTTGTATGTGAGTCTGGCCTTCTGACATTGACAGGCAGTAAAATACGGTGCAGTTTGTGCATTCTCTGATCGTGCGTGCCCAAGTTGCAGCCCGGAATTTGCGGCGACCGGGAACCCCTCCTGCCATCTTGCTACCTACGTTGGTGGATGGCGCTGCTGCGAACACGGTGTCTTCCTGATTGACACAGACAAGGAATGCAGTGATCCGAAGTGTTCGCAGGAGTTGCAGGACGAGGTTTTCATGAAGCACCCTGCAAGCAATTGGCACTTTTGTTTTGCGTTTGTTTGTTCGGGCTGCTAAAGCATTCTTGGCTCTGCTTTGTAACAGACACGACGAGTTCTTCTTGGCAAGGTACACCTTTTACTACGAAGATGCCGATGTTGGGACGCGCAAGATGGCGCCGAGTGCTTGCTGCGATGCAACCGGCACCGGCCAAGGCGTTGAAAACATCGAGTACGACGTTCCAGCCTGTGCGCCTGGCACCCCTGTTGAGAAGTGCCTGCACGTAGTCGAGACAGTTCAGCCCGTAGGCTTTTACCACAGACATCCGAAGTCTCCCAATGATAGGCACAGAGCAAACGAACTAGTGGACCTGGTCTTTGCAGCCCCACACCTCCATGTCGCGGGCTTGTCCATCGAGCTCTTTGACAATATCACCAACAAAACACTGTGCTCGGCAGTTGCCAGCGCAGACAACCAAGGTGGAATAATGTACGGGAATGGAACTGAGGCAGGGAATGAGAATGGATACTTGGTTGGTCTCATTCCATGCACCTGGTCAGGTAGCGACGCCCCTCGCTTCCAGAGAAACCACCCTTTAAGAATGCGAGCCGTGTACAACGCATCACGTACTCATACGGGCGTCATGTCACTATGGTTGATGGAAGTTTCGCCCGTCGCAGATGGCGATGTGGTAGTGTAAGGATAGTGTAAGAGTTGAGAGTGCACAGCGCGCACTTGGCGCGGCAGTTTCTGGCCGAAGGCCGGTCGATAGATTCCGTGAGAGTTCCGTGAACCCCCGGAGTGTAGCTTGGCACTTGTGGGGGCACAGAATGGCTGAACAGAAAGAAAAGGAAAGGTCTGATATAAGGTCTGTGCCAGCTGGGTCATGCCTTACAGTGCCTTGCCCTTCCTTACCGTGCCTTGATGTGCCTGACAGTGCCCTACAGTGTCTTGCAGTGCCTTCCTTTGGCATATGGTTTTTGAGTCACCCCCGCACTGCACAGGCTAGACCGTCGAGGGTGGCCCATATCTGCCTTCTTGAAGGCAGCGAATTCTCGTGATACGGGACTTGAATATACTCGAACTTTGTTGTATCCGTACATGCAAAGGACCCAGTAAGTTGCTTCTCAAAGGCTAATGTTTCTGATGCTTGTTGATATTCAGACTACACGTGGTGAGGTCGGACACCCGCATCCGTTTGCGAACGTGTACGACCGGAAAGTGATACTCATGGATGAGTCCTTCGGCATTGATAGGAGGAGGAGGAGGAGGAGGCGTGAATCTTGACTCATGTCTTATTAGCCTTGCACCAAGGGTCCACCACCTGGTACGCACAGACTCGCAGTACTCGGACCAGCTTGCCGTCCTTCGAGAACGACTTTCAACGGCCGAGGGATCTGTGTTGGCCGGGTTCACTGGCACTCCGCTACTCGTCGGTTCAGCAGAAGGCCGCCGGCTTTTGGACATCATTAAAGGGCCTTTAAGGGATGCCTCCGACGAAGGATTCTTGAGCTCCTTGAGCTGCAAGCCAGCATCGCTATTTCCACACTGTGTACCTACAGGTGTTGACAGGGCTGAACTGATGGCAAGCAAGCAGCTTTGCTGCAGGGTTGTCCTTCGAACTGAAGCCTTGCAGTCTTACGTCCTGCGCAGCTGCATAGAGCTCCGAAGCCGAAGGCGACTGCAGGCCTACTGTAACTTACACGTCTTCTCTGGAGCATATCATGACGGCCGGCATGGTTGCAAGAGCCGCGTCCTGAACTTTCCGCATCGTTGTGCACCCAAGTTCTGGAGGCTTGCGCAGATGATTGCGAACTCACGACAGAAAACGCTCGTGCTGGTATCCAGAGGCACGGGATATCGAGCAGCCATTGACGTATTGCGCCAAGCAGCATCTCGAGCGTTTCCCCCGTTTGAGGTAGCATCAACAGAGAAGCTTGCAGAGTTTAATTCTGCAGCGAATCTCAGAGGTGAGCTTTTCCCTTGCATGGTTGCTGATTCCAGCCAATGTGGCGAAGGCGTCTCATTTCGAACAGTCCGGCAGCTTTTCCTGCTTGACGTGCCCCCGACCCCAACATCACTGGTGCAGATTTGTGGGCGCGCAAGTCGGATGTTGGGACATGAAGAGCTGCCCCCGAAAGAGCGGACTGTGCGGGTGCAAATCTTTATCGCAACATTGCCAGAGTGGGCAAGGCAGCCCTTGGGTCACTGGTGTTTACTCGCTGCAGCCCGAAAGGGTCGGACTGGATGCAGCTTTGAGAGGCGCGCCCGCGCGTTGTTTTCACCACTTGTCGACAAGGTGGGTGACCTCAGGAAGCTGAAGGGAAGGCTGGTCCAAATCTGCAAGAAGAAGGCTTCCCAGTTGCAGCCGCGCAGCCTCGAGGAGCCTGCGCACTTAACCGCTTCAATGTTTGACGGTGGTTTTTGGGCGTACAAGGGCTTGAAACGTGTGGTGACTTTGGTGCCAATGCCCGACAACCCTCCCACAGCCAAGACCCCAATTTCAGCCTAGTCGAGTGCCTGGTTGGGACGCTGTCGGGGGTATCAAGAGTTTAAGACTTGTTTTCCTGGTTGGGAGTTGTGGGATGTTGCGGGCGTCAGTTTTGCAGTTGACTTGCAGTTGCACGTGCTCAGACTTTCCATTGGTCGCCGCTGTAGCCTTTTTGCCTTTTGGTCTACAACTTTTTGTCGTCAGAAGCGATCAGACAGACTTGCTTCTCGGCTGCGTTTTAGGAGATGAGGCATCGCAGCCTCGAGCATCGCCTCTCCTCACCTTACCTCACCTCACCCCGTCGGTCTCTCTACCCAGGACTGTCATGGCGAAGATGCTGGGACTCGCCTTGCTGGCAGCTGCCACCATTCAGCAATAGATAGCAATTCCAGCACTGTGAGATTGGCGGTTGCCGCGCGGCGCGCGCGTCGGCTTTTTTTGCTTGGACTCCCCAAGGCCCTTTCCTGTGTCATGTCAACAGACATGGACACTGCCCTGGCTGCCGATGCTGAGTGTGGCCCTGGCGAGGCAGAGTTTGTGTCTTCGTTGCTGCCTAGACTGACATGCGAAAACAAGTGGTGCAACTTCGCAGGAATGCGCCCTCAATGCCTTGCAGCAAAAGGCAGTGGTTGCGCAGTTGCAGTCAGAGGCGAGGCCTGCTTGCACCGGCAGCGCTGCGACGTGAACTCGTGGAATGTGCTGTGCATCATTTGGACGCTCTCCTTCGGGGAAGTGACCTTGAAACACCTTGAAACGCCTTGAAACGCCTTGAAACGCCTTGAAACGCCTTGAAATGTCGAAGAGGACTCTGTGGAGAAGTTTGCTGCAGCCCTGGAGGAAGGCGATGAGGAAGCAGAGGCTGCCCAGAGACGCCCCGAATCTGCTGTAAGAAGCGAGAGACCAGAGGCTCCCAATGAGACTCCCAAGAATGAGACTTTCATGGCGTGTGTTTCGGATTGTGTCTGTGACTTGAGGCCGAGGCACAGAGCTTAGCTCAGAAGAATTCGGACGCAGCTTAGCTCATCTCGGCGGACAGCACACCAGCATAGGGCAGCAGAATCCTTCACGATGTTTTCATGTTTTCATCCTCAACGAAGGAGTGGGCTCCACCCCCTCCACAGCCTCAGCCTGGCTACAACCCGTACTGGAACAGCAACCCGTACGGCGGCTCTCCGAGGCTTGCCGAGAATCTCCTTGCCAGCAAGTTCTGTGAAGAGTTCTTTTGTATCACCAGCTCGGAGGGAGATCACCCATCCTCCCGCCTCTACTGACACCTCCTGCAATGTAAGGAATGGATTCGGCTCCCCGTATGGGAGCCATTACGGCAGCAATCCATACTCTGTGCCGGGACTAGGCGAGGCACCTGTGTGCATTTTCGGAAGGGCTTCAGAGCTTGGGCCGCTTGGGGTCACGACAAGGTTGTGAAGTCCCTCTGATGCCCGAGCGCTCTCATGCCACCACTGCCATGGCCCCCATTTTACGTGAATGCACGCCATTGCACGCCCATGGTGAGGAGTTGGAGGCTGCCTGACCAAGATCCAGGAAACGGACTTTCAAAATCCATTGCATTAGAATTTTGCTATCAAGGTGAGACGCTGTCATGATCGTGCCTCCAGCACCTTCTCAGTTTTCTGGAGTTTGAATCTGCTTAATGATCTCGCTTGCGTGGTCATGTTGCAAGTTGTGTACGTGGCGGCTCGTGGTTGTGTATGTCGGGGGTGTCGCAAGTGTTTGTTGCCCACCCTCGGTCTGGGGTTGTTAGATGTCAAGCTAAACTCTTCTCCTGTTGGAAGTAAAATGACTTTCAGCTTTGTGGTTTCTACCGCGGTCTTGGTATGGATTTCAAGCCGATCGCCTAAGCCACCTACACAATCCTATCTACTTTTCTCATTTCCTCCCACTTTTCTTCTCCATTGTTTCATATGCCGCTTTCTCTAGGGCTTCTTTTCCGCTTCGGTCTGTCTAGTTGTCTTTTACGCTTCTGCCACAGCTTCGTCTTGGTTTCCATCTTCTCCGACTTGTCGACTTCCACTTCTGTAGTCTGTTCAATATCGCCGTCGTAGAGGCATAGTCCGTCTTCTTTCTTTGCACGTCTCTCTCCGGTCGTCAAGTCACCTTCGGCATTTGCTCATTACCTATGATGCTTCTGTTGATGCCTTGGACCCATGTTGTCGGGAGATGTCGGGAGTCTTATCAGGGCTCTTCTTGCATGGTCTTCGACTGCGCAAAGTCGCGTGGGCCAACGCGGTGCAACCTCCAGGAGCGCTCTGTTGCAGTGCCGCCACTTGCGGCATGTATGAGTTTGTGTTGGCTGTGTGTAAACCGTTGACCCATCAGGACTACTACTGCTACTGTCAACCCGGCAACTTGGCTCCCTCATTGGTTGCTCACTTTTTCGTCGACTTATTGGATCCCTGGCACAGGATTCTGCTCCGATGGCAAGGGCTGCGTACCTCAGCAGGGCTCCATGTATCGATAAGCCGCAGAGCTGCAATTTCGAGAAGCCCAGCACAGATAGTCGAAACTTTGACAAAGGCGTGCCGATGTGTATGCCATCCGAACACTTGGGTCTCTGGATTTTGATTGAGGGAACAGTCAGAGATAGCATAATCACTGCACACACGTCCCACCTCGGCATGAGGCTAGACATGACTGACACTGAAGAGCCTGGGGGGGGTACTGGTGAGTAGGACCAGGGGCTGCTCAAACGAGGTGGCTTGGACGTGGTCGCAGATGTTGTTTTCTGGCGTACGGTCTGCTGCCAGCTTCATGGCCCAGACCTGACTCAGCCAATAGAGCTGGGGTGAGTTCGAGCGCAATGACAAAAATTCCAGCATACAAAATGAAGACGCAGTTTCTTCTGCCGTTCATCGTCATGCAAAACAACTGCATGCCGTTGAGACAGGTTCTCATGATATTGCCACAAAGCGAAGAGCTTGCTGATTGCCTTAGACCTGCTTGTTTGCACGCGCTGGGTTAAGCACAGGCTCAAATACTGTCTGTGTATGCTTGTACTCTGGAGGAGCTCCATCCACGGGTTCGCATCCACGGGGGCAACTTGGCTTGACACCGTCTTGTAAGGCCTGCACACAGCATGACAAAGACTGGCAAAATCCAGGCGTTCCGTGGCTCAAGCAGATTGAGCAGGAAGATGTTCAAGGCATCATGAGCAAGATCGGCTGCTCCAAGGAAAGTACTGCCACATCAGCCTGCAGTTTGCATGCAATGCAGCTATGGAAATCACTGTTTGTTCTGGGCATGTGTGGCTGGCACCAGACAATCGCATGACTTGTCAGGAGTCTTACTCTGGCTCGGGCAGCGAGTTGTGCAAGGCATTGTGACTTGCCCTGGCATTCTGTCTTGAGAGTCGTTTTCGAAAGTATCATCTCAGACTAGGATCCGCTCGTGCTAAATGTGCCGTGGCAGGCGTTGAATTGGCTTTACTTACGAGAAAATCAGCCAGACGAATTCCGTACAGCTGATGAGTTGGCAATGGACGAGCTGCAGAAGAAGCTTGACTGCACACAGAGCAGATATAAAGTGGAAATCTGGCAAGACAGCTTGAGACTGTTGAGCAAGTGCCAATCTCGGAAGTGAGGGCATCCGCTTCGTATTCAGGCGGCGGAGCCTAGGGCTTCTCAAAGCTTCTTAGCAGACTGCGATTGGCTGCACAACGAGTTTGTTGAATGTGTCGTAGGAAATCTGACTCTGCAGGTGCTCTGGCAGACTTCCGGCAGAAGGCAATGGATCATGAGGCCTTGCCATAAGAGACTACGACGCTCTGGCTTATTGACTCAACGCCCTCAACAGGTCTTGGCCGACTGCTTCAAAGAGCAACCGGCTCCTGTGATGCAGTGCAAGTTGCGCTACCAGTACTGCCCCTACTGCCCCCTAAGCATCCCTGAGTGGTCCCCATCAAATTCTGCAACACGATGGCATGTTGCTTTCCTCTTTGAGGCTGCAAAAAGACGAGCAGCTTTCAAAAAGAAGGACTCACTCCACTCCACTTTGCATTCCGGACTTTCTGCGTGAAGGTTGTAGGTAGCCGTGAACTCATGCCGCACCTGTGTAAAGCCGCTTGGAGGAATCCGCCAACTTCCCAAGTGTCTCTTGGAAACGCGTCCGCCTGACCTTCAAGCAACCGAATCCATCGCTGGTTCCGGATCGACACCATGCTGTGAGCTGACGTGAAAGCAAGTTTTGCTGCTTCAAGAACAGGGATGCTCACGGAGCTTGGCCGTAACGTCTTTCCAAAAGCTGCCACGAGCTTCGTGTACTGCAAGCTTGCAGCACTGTGCTCTGCGGACCCTCGTGGACCGCAACACCCTCCGAGCAGGACACTGCCACATGTCGTTCTTCCAAGCAAGGTCGCCCTACCATGCCTTACCTGACGAAGATCTCCATGAAGGACTCCAGAATCTAAGTGAGCGCTATCACTAGGACCCATCCACTGCGTGTTGAGGGCCCAGGTCGGTGACGGGCGCAACGTCAGTGAGGTCAGTGCACAGTATGGTTGATTATGATTCAATTTAAGTGCGTTTCATGGAAATGCGAAGCCAAAGTAGCTGCACATGGAGCCGTGAACAAAACACGCGACCGACGCTGGTGAGCTTCTGGGCATTGACTGCTTTTCCAAATGTGCATTTGCAGGCGCTTCAAAACTGCATCAAGGACCTGGAGAAGTGCAACCTGAATGATATTCCGTGATACGCCGCGACCTGTGCTGAGTGCTTACAAGAAGCTGCCAGGTACTCTAGCCAAAGCAGAAACGCGCATTCTGCTGCAAAGGGAGGCAGCAAAACGTGCGCTCGGCAAGATGGCATGTATGGAGTTGTCATGGCTGTCTGACTGCTTGCAACCGTGAGTGGCCCGGTGCTGGCCTGCGACCGCCACAAGCTGCATCGAGCGAACATGGAACAGGTATGCCGACGATGTCAACATCTTGGGCTCCTTCCTCCAGTGCGCTTCCTGTTGCGCGATGTTGCGCGCACGCGCAGTGTGTGTGTGTACGTTTCAAAGCCTCATGAACAGGGAGAGTTGTTCAGAACTGCGCACATCCGCAAGAACCAAGCATTGGGGTCTGTGCACTCATGGCGCGTTCAGAGCTCATTGGTCTTTCTGTCACATGCTCAAAGTTTCTGTCACATCCTGAAAGTGCTCGGGGCATAAAAGGCGCTAAGAAGTCAAAATGCGATTTTGGAATCCACTCGCTGGCCCGTCACATGAACAGCGTGTTCCGGCATGTTCCGGCCCTCTCCGAGTGTGGCTGTGAGGCCGCATGGTCGCAGGTGCTGTTGCCGGTCCGTTCTTCTGTACCGGTGTGGGACCCTCAACCTGTAGTGTGGCCTCCCCCTCCAGCCCCGTGCTGGACAGTGGACCGGCCCGGGGCCGGCCGGGAGGGGAAGTGGTTGGCGAAGGGGCTGAGGTTTTAGGGCTGGAGAGCCTTGAAGACTGTCTGGGCCAGAGACTGTACAATAATTGTGCTCACAACTCACTAGGGGTAACTTGGCGATCTCGGCGGGCCCAAGCTTCATCAAGCTCCGCACGCAGGTCCTTGCAAACCAAGCTGGCCAAGACTTACGAGACCTTTGGCAGCGATTGCTCGGTTTTGCTCTTCACGGGCCTTACAACTCCGTAAGCCTTGAAGACCACGTGCGTTGGGACGTATGGGCCGCACGGGCCATTTTTGGGGGGAGGGCAGGTCAGTTTCTCCTTACCGATGAGGCTTTCTGCAGAAAGGGCAAGAATTCTACGTTGCTGCTTGTAGCTCGACACCCCTAACTGTGACAGAAGCACCTAGAAGAAACGTCGCATTGAGTGAATCGGTCCCATGCTACATCAACAAGCAGTGGCTTGGCTGAGTGAATCATGAATCGTGATTTTGCTGTGTGAGTTGCAAGCGCTATCAGTGATCAGGAAACACAAGAAGCAGTACAACAGCCTCCGCGATGACCAACATCAAGCCGTTCTCCCGGAGCTACGAACTTTGCCTGTTTAAGTCGTTTTCGTGCTGGCGGCCCATTGCAGCTGTTGCCAGATTCCAACCAGTTGAGCTATGTCATTCGAATAGTCGGAGCTGCATCTGAATGAACACCAATATCTGCGTGACCTGGGGTTGTTCGTAGACCTTTGATTGGCAAGGTTGTCTCTGGCTTCTTGCAGAAGCTTGGGACTCTGCCTATGCAGGCGACGGGAGTTTCAATGTGCAAGCGCGCGATCTGTGCCACCTGGCATGTTGATCATGTTGCTTGGAAAGGCCTTGAAAGGCGGG